TAAATGCAGGCAGCAATTTTACGTGTCCGTTCTCAAAAGCAGCTACACGTGTTCACGGACTCAATTCCCTGAGCTCCCAGGCTCTCTCATGCATGCAGCAGATGATGTTGTCCCTTGTTTCTGTTTGTTAGCACAAGGTTACCAAAGGTAATATTTGAGGATCGAGAACATGAACAGAAGATCCAAGTTTGCTTCCACTCCCTGGCCTTCTGTAGTATCAAAACCTGGACTACAGTTTGACAAATGTTATCAGAATTAAGCATTAAATATGATTGTGGGTGGAATGCATGGAGTTTGGAATGCTATGATTTAGGTATATTATAGCACAGATAACATGCAGTGTGCTGGGTGCAGCAGAAAATAGTTCTTGGGTAGGTAAGTTGTTGTTTTCTGAAGGTGAATGTTCTGATGTGTGAAGAATTTTATACCTGAAGAGTGTTATAACTGATAATGTGCAGGAGGAACGATGGTGCTGTCTCACTGGTGAAGATGAAAGGAAGCAAGTTAACAAATAAGAGTAATAGGAAAAAATTATGCCAGTCTTTGCAGATCATCTCCAATAAACCTACTTCTATTGTTTGCTTGCTCTGAGGTATACACTAGAAAACATCATATATTTTCTGTTAACCATGCTAGGAATGTCCTAAGCCCCTGTAGTCTCTCTTCATTTCAGTCTCAGCAAATCATCCACATATTTTTGTTCCCTTTCTTTGAATTAATTCCTCACTGTCCCTATTTGCCTGGAATGAGAGTGATGACAAATGAGCTGTGGTCTCATTGACACACTACACAGGGAAGATGATTTTGATGTGTTTTCTATTGCTTGTCACTTGAGGGTCACTCCCTCAACTATCACTTTCCAGGTAAATTTTTCGTCTGAGTATTTTCTTCCTTGTTAGCTTTCTGAGCTATTACACCTAAACATTCAAGCCTTCATTTTTTTTCTTAGATGAAACAGTAACTTTATTTACTGCTTATGTTTCTACACTGTATCCTTGATACAATCCAACAGGGAAAGTTTCTTGTCACTGAGAACTTTTCATCTGAATCAATATCAGAATGTAACCCAAATGTGCAGCAAGTTAGCCTCACAAAAGAAAAAGTTATTTTTAGGAGCTGCTGCTAGAGTCGGTAGGATTACTCTGAATAGAGTATAAATTGTGGTGTCTGGTCCTCAGTCCTCTTTTGGAAAGCATTACCCAGCAACAAATGAAATGGAGCCAACACAACCATTTAAAATGGCAAAGTAAACAGTTCGTGTTGTAGTCAAGATAATCCTTAATTTCTGCTGCTTATCTGAGATCTGCCCTGCCTATCTGATGCCAGGATTTAACCTTCCTGAAAGCTGTTACCAGTGTATGTGCTTGAACTGAGAAGACCTCTTTCCACCTGCTTTTCAGAGCCCTTTCTCCTAGAATATTAGTACTACTGTGCCCCTTTTTGAAAGGATATCCTCTGAAATATGGATTATTTTTAGAAGCATGTACTAGGAATATTTTGCTACAATATAGCTTAGGGGAAATACTTAATAATGCCTGTTTAAAGGATCCACTTTTTGTCTTTGCAGAAGAACCACAATGTCTTAAATTCTCATCATTTTTGTCTTACAAAAGTACATGTATAGTTGTAGAAATTAAAGAGAATCATCAGTTTATGGTAACTGCCAGTTGTGTAACTAACTCAAAAGAAAAGCTACATGGAATTTTAATTTCAAATTTCTTTGCACTTTGTTGGAAACCATTTTTGTCATTTTCTGTTTCCTTGGGATACTGTGTGGAACACAGAATGGCAGAGCAGATGGCCTGTCTTCTCTTTCCAAAGAGAAAACCAATATCACCCTGTGTGAGAGGGAAGTCTAAAGAGAGTTTCACAGAGGTATGGAAAGCCTGGTCCAACATCTGGATGAAAACAAAAATAAGAGTCAGTTTAAAAAGAAAAAAAAAAATTAATATTTAAATTAAGACCCTCTATTATACCCTCATCTTTGGGAGGAGGGGAGAGAATCACTGGGTGATATTTCTCAGGCTTAGTCATAAGAGGAGCAGGGAGTGATGGCCTGAAATATGCAGTAAAAGTTCTCAGAATAGGGAGTGAGTCACTGCTGCCCTTGAACTTTGTGAATCTGAAACTATATTTATCATTTTGCATTGTTCCTGAGCTGTGTATATGCAGTTCCACTCAGAGAGGAACTTGCCTTTTCTGCCCTCACACAAAAGGGAATTTCCAGGGAGAGAAGTTGAGGATTAATTTCTTGAAGTGAGTTTTAAGAAAAGCTTAATTGAAGAATGTTTGTGTTGGGAGATTACTGAAGCTACTACTGAAAGGTTAAATAAAGAAACTAGGCAGTAGCATGCAAAGGGGGAAAAAAAAAGAAAGGAAATGAGTAAAATTGAAGAGTTCATGTAGGGTCAAGAATGTAACACAGGGTGCTGCCATGAGAGGCAAGTGTTTTTGTTAATGTAGTACTTTTTTCCTTTTCTTCCCACAACCTTATCTGCACTGTTTTGAACAGAAGCCAGAGTGCTGAAAGGAAAGATCCAGATCTTTACATTTTGCATTCTTCCTCTTCTCCCCCTGCCCCTACAGTATAAGAAACTAGACAAGTTTTTGAATCAGGTCATTGCTAAACAGCTGGCTTGTGAAAGAGCACAGATGTCACACCAAAAATATCACCTTGGCACTAAAAGTCAGCAGGATGTCTTGTGTCTGCAGAACTGTGTTCAATTAGTGACCAAATGCACAGACTGGAAGCATACTTACTGTCTGGTCCTCAGCAGTAGCCCATGTAGAGAGAATGGAATAGGTGCCTGAAAAAGTTCTATCTTTCTTTTATATAACAAAACTTAAAAGATGAGAAATATTGTTATTGGGTGGCGGGACAAAAGAGGCAGTTACTGGCTTGCCAAAAAGACTTGGCAAATGGAAATCCAGAATTAGTTCCAGGAAATATAATAGGTAATGTAATAAGTATGTGAGAACTGTAGGTACTTTGCATTTCTGTATGTGAAGTAACTGCAGTACAGGATTACACATCCCACACTGATATTTCAAGTTTCCTTGTTCAGTGGGAAGGAAAGCCATCAGTGCGCTGAGGCTCATTTTATAGGCACAGATTATCAGCTATCTTTAAATCTGCTTCCAAAACCCTTCATGGCTGTTGTGACAATTTATTAGCATAGGGAACTCCTGTGGGCATTTGTGCTGCTGTGTAAGTATAAGCAAGGGCTATTCATGATGTCTATTAGTAGTGATTGTCTCAAACTCGGAGTGCGTGGAAAACGGGTAACAAAAAACCCTCTGTGCTTTATTTAAGAGCAATTAAATATGCCCAGACAGCTGAAACATTCAATCTGGGAGGAGGGTGTGTGGTGGAAACTAAAATATCAGTATCTTCAGAGTAAAAGATTTCCAATAAAATGTGCAGCAAGATCACCTTAACTCAGAACTACAACTTCTCCACCTCCAACCTCTCCTATAATATACATACCGAAGGAAATAAACCAGCATGATGGGGAAAAAATTGTTCACAAGGAAATTTCGCAGTAATAGGCTCAGAACTCCAGATGTATTTACATTTTTTCTCACAAAATGATGGCTCCTGAAGTGAGAAAACTAGCGACGATTTCAATACTGGTTTCCGTGTTGGCATTACTGATGAATTAGGATGGCAGCAGGGCTCCTCTTCTACTGTTACCCATAACGGGTACAATTTACTAATATAGATTTGCACTCATCTAGGACAAATTTAGCTATTGGTTATGTGAGCAAAAAATTTCACTGAGTAACTGCGAAATCCATCACTTCAAGATGCTATATACTGGCAAGCAGCATGCTGAGATGCTGTGACAGAAGCTTAACTATATGTAAGGAGTGACGTTTATACCCTGTGCTGAAGCCTTACAGTTATTTTCTGCCAGTCTTCCCACTTTGGCCTTTGGTGTCGCATCACTATGGGTCGGTGGTTCCCAAACTGAGACCTGTAGATGAGTAGGAGCAGAATTTTCACACTGATTAATGTTTGATGAACAGGAAGAGCAGCTGCACCCAGTTCAACCAGGTCCTTTGCTTCTTGGTTTGCTTTTAAATTTGTATGCTTTGGCCTCCACCAAGTTTTGACATCAAGCTACACCATTCTTCTTCTGCTGCAAGTGCATGGAAACCGGGTCTAAATTGGTCTCAAGAGCTTGGAAACTCCTAGTCCCCTTAAGGGCATTTCTAATGAGCTCCAGCACTTTACTATAGCGCCTGACGGTGAGACCGGGGTGCCTGCCTTTCCGCTCCTCAGGCCCGGGAGAGGCGATGTGCTTCGTAGCGAAAAACATGAAACTGGGGGAAAAAAGTAAACCACCCGTTTCCATGACAACCTAAACCTGACACCGAGGGAGCCCAGCCTGTTTCTACCTCCCCCCCCCCCCCCCCCCCCCCCCCCACGTCCCAGAGGGCGGGAAGTACCGCCCCGAGGCCCGCGGGGATCCCCGGGCGCGCCAGGCGCGGCGCAGGTGCCATACTCACCGGGCTCCGCTTCCCCGCCGCCGCTGGGCCGCGGCCTGGGCCCTCCCGCGCTTGCCGGGTACTCAAATTTCCCACTCTCTCAGAGCCGGGGCCGGTAAAAAATGGAGGCGGTGGAGCAGGGTGCGGTGACCGCGGTGCAGAGCCCGCTACGCCTCGCCGCTCCCCTCAGCGGGACCGCTCGCTAGGGGGCACTGTTCCCGCCCGCAGGTTGCACAGGCCCCCCCCCTCGTCCTTTCCCGCCCGCGGGCCCCCGCGCTCCTCTCGCGCCTCTCCCGCCTCCTCCCAACCTCCCGCGCTGCGCCGCCGGCCTCGCGCGTCGGGACCTAGGCTGCCTGCGGGCGGCTCGTCCTGCCGGGGGGGGCGCGGCCTCGGCTGGAGTGGCGTCCCTGACAGCCAATGAGCGCGCAGTGTGCCTGACAGTTATGCGGCCTCTGCCAATGGGATGAGCGGGGGGGCGGGAGCGGTGGGGCGCGAGAGGCGCCGCAGGCCGGCGCTTCGGAGCATTCGGCGGAGGGAAGTGGCGCAGCATGATGCGGCTGTGGCGATCGGCGTTGCTGCGGGAGCTGCTGCTGCTCGGGCCGCCGGGGCCGGCCGGCGGCAGCGGCTCAGGTACCGGTGCCGGCACCAGGCGCCGCCCGTCGCCGCTGGCTGCCTTTGGAGCGAGCCCACCCGTCTCCCGCCGCGGCGGCCCGGGGCTGCTGCCGCCGCCGCCGCCTTCGGCTAGGGGTTTGTGCACGCGCTCGGAGGGAGCCTTGGAGGAGCCGGGGAAGGGAGCGCAGGCGCCGTCGCCGACCCCCGGCGAGCCCTCCGCCGACAGCGGCCACAACAATAACCACGGCGGCGGCAAGGAGCTGGCCGGAGGCGGCGGCGGGGGGGAGAAGTGAGTGCGAGGAGGACGGTGGGGCTGGGCCGGGCGGCGGGATGCGGAGGCGCCATGTGAGCGCCGCCTTCCAGTCGCACGCGTGGTGGCTGCGGGAGGGGGCCGGGCGGGGCGCGGGGGCCGCTGTCCCGGCAGGTGCGAAGCGCGGGCATCGCCTCTCCCGCGGCCCTGCCGCGGCGGGCTGGGGTCTGTGGGCAGCTCGTGGGGCGCGGTGCGGGCCTGTCCGGCCAGGTGGGGTCCCGCGGGGCACGGAGGGCGGGCTCGGAGTGGGGAGGAAGCGCGAGCAGACGTGTGGCCTGAGGAGCGTGTGTGCCTCTCGGTGCTGCCCTTGCCGCTACTCGCGTCCTGCCGCACCCTGAGCTTCCACCGGGCTCGGCGTCCCTTCCGCATACGGCCGTGCCCGTGTCTTGGTTCGGAGCTCGCAGCCAGCGTACGCTAGTGTGGCTTTTTCTAGCGCTGCTACTTGCATAAAAGGTGTTTTCCTATTGAAGTGAAAGCTGTGTCATCTCACGTTAATTATTAAAGGCGGTATACATGGTGTGTAGTTCTGCCCGGGAAGTTTAGCAGCGCTGTCTTCATGTCTGCATCTAGTGCAGCTAGGGATGGATAACGCCACAAATGTTAATAGGCGCTACAGAATGCGACCCTGTGCCAAGAAGCACTGATATGTCCCTACGTGACAAAGGTACATGCAGGTAATAGAATAAGACTGTATATATTTGTGAAGTTAATATTCCTTCGTTAGGAACCTGAAATACTCTTTACAGAAGTGGTCAGGGACAAGCGTATCAGCTCCAGTTTGTGATGACCAGTGGTTGAAAACACAGAGTATAATGACAAGGTAAATGGATTGATGGCTCTCAAGCATTCTGCTCTGGTAGTCCTCAGCATCATGCAGCTCTTGAAGAAGCCTTGTTCATTTCTCACCTCCCCGTCTGACAGATTTTCCATTGCTTGTTTGAACCTGGATACACTTAGTGGCTGATAACCTTTTACATGAAGTTTGGCAGATTAACTGCAATCCCCATGAAGACACATCTCCTTTGTGTGTGTTCAGAGCTTGACCCTTGGCTTTCCTGTAGGCAGCCTGTGTGTCTTCTTTGTGCTGCTTATGGGGCAGCCTAATTAAAGTCTAAACTGAAGTCACTTTCCCAGGCTTTGCTATGCTTATTGTCTAGATATAAAAATCAAAAGACAGAGGAAATAAGGCCAATAAAGGAATACTTTGTTTTAATAGTGGACAAAGTCTCTGTTACCCTGATGCTAAGAGGAAGTCTTCCACAAAGCCAGCTGGGAAGGCTGCAGCCCTTAACTCATCAATAGTTCTGCTTTTGAGTTGTGGTTTTGGGTTTGTTTTCTTTTAACATCAACTTCTACTTCAGCATGGCAGGCAGGCAGGAAAAGAAGCTCTCTTCTTGTTCTCTCCAGTAAGTGTCTTAGCTGCTCAGCTTTGTTCAAGCCTTTTGTTTCAGTGGGATATAGTCTTCTTTAAAGGTATCACTTAAAATTGCTGCTGTCAAAATCCTTTAAAAAATACGTGCAACTAAGGTTACATAACTATGTAGAATATAATACGCAATTATATGTGTATTATTATGATTATTGTAGTTATAAAATTGTTCAACGTATCTGAAGTCTTTCAATTAGCTCTATATGTAACATTTTGAAACAAAAATTATTCAGCTGTGTCTGAAGTAGGTGTGTATAAAGGTTGTACTTATGTTTTCAATAAGAAATACAGAAAGTACTATAAAAAACAAGTGTGCCAACTATGAGGGGGTTCTGAGAATGCTGAAAAGGTAATATATTAAAGGGGTAACATGATTTTAACCTGAGCTTTTATAACAGCTTCCTACAGCTAGCATCAGTTAGGGAAATCCTGTCATTTCTAGTATGTCTGGTAAAGCTATGTAGTCACAACCAGTTATACACTTTAAGTCATTTTTGGCTTTTGACAGAAGGATGTATTTGAAAGTCAAATGCTCATTCTTTGAGCCTTACTGCAAAATGAACAAGGAAATATGACATGTAGCATGTAGTTATGAACAAGTGAAAAACTGGAAACAGTTTCTTTTCAGTTCCAGCTCTGCAGGAATTCCTGGTGATGTGTTAGCCAGGCTGCTGGATACTTTCGTTCTTACTTTTCTTGATGCAGAATTATGAAAATCTTCCTTAAGCATTTGTAAATGGTACATTGCATGTGGTCATCACCACTGTATTAAGACAGGGTTTGGAAGAAAAGTTCTAAGCTGACAGCTGAGCTAAGTCAGGGCAGTCTGTGTTCTGCTGATTCCAGCGCTTTGCAATCCAGAAGTATATAACGTTTGAGCTGTGTTTGGCAGATGGTTTGTGGGCCCAACTGGGAAGACAGTAGTCCTTTTGAGGCTTTCCTTGTTTTGTTTGTTTTGGGGGTTTACCTCCCCCCCCCCCCCCCCCCATTTGCATGTAAGGTTGTGGTTCTAGGATACTGGAATAACCTACAGTGTCAGAAGGCAGCACTAAGATTTTCTTGCTTCTTTGCTTGCCTGACAGTCCTCATTTACAGAGTGGGAGTTACAAGTGAAAACCTAAAATGTTTTGTGCAAAAAGTATACAGAAATGTAGAACAGTTTAACTCCTCATAGAGAGAATAAATGATGAGCCCTGTGGCTGATGAAATAACTAGTATCCCATTGCATAACCAGATCCTTCTGTGTTGGTTTTTTTTTTTTTTCCCTGAATATTTTCCACCACCTCCTAATCCCTGCTATCCAGTCTTCACTCTGTGCATCCACCTGAAACTGGAAATTTCCTTTCCTTTTGGAAAGGAAAAATATTTCAGCTTAAACTGAGACTGGTCACACACTGGTAATTTTGATTAGTGAGGGCTGTGGATTAAAATGCAATCATTTCTATATGTCCATGCCTAAATAATTACAACAGAATAACACAGTACAGTCCTAAATTATAAACTTGTATAGTATTTATTAGTGTTTACTTTTACTTTTGATATAACTGTGTATTGTTCACTTTTACTTTCAGTGTAAGTATGCATTGTTCTTGCATCTTATACTGGACAGTAGTAGGATCAAACGTAGTTTACCTAAGTCTAAGCTATTTCTAAATTTTAAAGGCCTTATGAGGGTGAGAGAGAGGAGCAAAATGTGAGCAACCCTGATTTTTAAAGTATAGCTAAATTGCAATACTGATGAGTACTAGTATATGGAATGTAGCAAATGGTTGATGGAAGTGTGTTGGTCTCGGTTTGGGTTGGGGTTTTTTATTTGTTTCTCTTTCCTTAGAATGTCAAGGAAGTGGTAGCACTCCTTTTTAAGGACAGAGGTGAATTTTGGAGATGTCTTTTAATCTTGCTTTTGCATCCAAGCCAGATTCAACTGTAAAGGAACCAGTTGTATAGGAACTGTATAGTTCATCACACTGTTACTCCTGTCAGAGTGTGGCTGCCACGCTGACAGATACAAGAAACTGCGCTTTCAGTAGACCTTTCATAACTTCCTTAGAGGCTAAGGTTTTGAAGCAACAGTTCTTGTTTTTACTGTAAACACTTTGACATCTACTAAAGCGTGTCTGTCTTTGGTCTGGGTTTATAAATACATAGTTTTGTCTGAATCTTGGGAAGTTCTCAAGTAAATAAATGATTATCCACCAGTGTTTATGGGATCAGTGGCTAATTATGCAAGTGAACAGAAGATAGTTATTTAGTGACTTGGGTGTGTGTATCTCTTAGTTGGAGATGGTCATCTGTAGTATGGTGACAACGTCTTTAAGATACCTGTTTTAGATAGAGTGACTAACAACTGCGAGTTGCAGCCCTTGCAGCTTTCGTAGAATCATAGGATAGTTTGAATTGGAAGGGACCTTTAAAGGTCATCTCATCCTCCCCTCCTCCAGTGAGCAAGAACATCTTGGACTAGGTCAGGTTGCTGAAAGCCCTGTGCAACCCGGCCTTGAATGTTTCCAGGGATGGGGCATCTGCCGTCTCTCTGAGCAACCTATTCTAGTATTTCACCACCCTCATAGTAAAATATTTCTTCCTTATATCTAGTCTAAATCTGCCCTCTTTTAGTTTAAAACCATTACCCTTTGTCCTATCACAACAGGCCCTGCTAAGGAGTTTGTCCCCATCTTTCCTGTAGGCTGCTGTTAAGTTCTGAAAGGCTGCAATAAGGTCTCTGTGGAACCTGCTGTACTCCAGGCTGAACAATTCCAGCTCTCTCAGCCTTTCTCCATAGGAGAGGTGCTTCATCCCTCTGATCATCTTTGTGGCCCTCCTCTGTACTCACTCCAACAGGCCCATGTCCTTTTTATGCTGGGGCTCCCAGACCTGAAGGCAGTTTTCCAGGTGGGGTCTCACAAGAGCAGGGTAGAGGGGCAGAATCTCCTCCCTCAACCTGCTGATCACGCTTCTTTCGATGCAGCCCAGGATACAGTTGGCCTCCTGGTCTGCGGGTGTACTTTGCTGCCTCACGTTCAGCTTTTCATCCACCAATATCCCAAGTCATCCTCAGCAGGGCTGCTCTCAATCCCTTCATCCCCCAGCCTGTATTGATACAGGGGGTTGTGCTGACCCAGGTTCAGTATCTTGCATTTGGCCTTGTTGAATCTTACGAGGGTCATGTGTGCTGATTTCATGAGCTTGTCTAGGTCCCTCTGGATGGCATCCCTTCCTTCAGGTGTGTCAGCTGCGTCGCTCAGCTTGGTGTCAGCTGCAGACTTGCTGAGGATGGCACTCCAATCCCACTGTCCATGTCACTGACAAAGATACTAAACAGTACTGGTCCCAGTACAGACCCCCTGAGGGACTGTTGCTGGGGACAGTTGTGACCTCATTTTAATGACTGGTGCCTTAACAATGAACCTGAAATTATTATTACCTGTATCATATCTTTATATGTTTTGTTGTTCCATAAATCATGTTCTGCATTTTAGCAGTTGCATCTTCAAGCGCAAGGTAGGAATTTAATTTCTTATATTGTAGTGATTCTAATTCAGTTTTTGTAAAAATGAAATCCTCCATGGAATCTGGTATAAGTATTGTACTGATGCAAAAGGAGGAGCTGAAGGAGGGAACAATAAAAATTGCAAAGTCCTTGTGCTTGGAATTCCTGCTTTATATATGTGTATGTGTATATATATATGTGTGTGTGTGTGTATTCAAAAAGCAGTGTGAAGCCTCTGCCAGAATTCTAGTCCACAGCTTGGATTACCACTGAAGAAGTCTAGTTGTGTAATAGTCTGGTGATTAATTATTATTATTTTAAGAAGGGAAATAAGGATCATAAGCCATAATTCATGGAGTGAAATAGACTGGATTTTTTTCCACTTTAATTCAGCTGTGAAAATTGCAAGTTCCCTGACTTGAAAAACATCTGTTGAACAGCACTATCATGCTAAGTGTGCTCGTGGTGCCAAAACATAGCTTTTAGGTTAGGCAAACATTAGTTACTGACATCACTGCCCTGATAAACTGCAGAGCAAGCCTTTCCACCTCTATTTAACTGATAAACTTTATCAAAAGATGGACTATTTGACAAAGAGCAATTTTCTGTAAATATATTGAATGCCATCCTCTTTGCTTTGCCAGCTAGTGCAGATCCATTGTTTAATTAGGCTGACTGACCCAATATTGAACAGCAGCAGATGTGAAAGATACAGAAACGACGTCAAGAGATAGTTTATGCTGCGAAAGGTGCACATCTCTTTTTAATAGATTAAAATCTCATGAAGAAGCAGGTAAAAATCTTGTTGAGATGTCGGAATTTTTTTGTTCTGCACCCTCCCAGATAAAAACTCCACATTTGGAACAGCTGTTAAATTCTGCGTAATTGCTCAGGAACTTGTAATTAAGTAGGTTGTCAGTTAAAATTACTCAATGTGTTCCCTGGATTGTCTTGTCAAAGTGAAATACGAAAGTTTTTCTCTGTCAAACCTTCAGCAATCGAGTAAGGAATCTTGTAGCAGAGACATTCCTTAAAACGCGAAATGTCAACATTTTGGGTAACTTTGTTAAATGCTGTGTGTAGGGGTGTAGGCTGTAACTCGGCATAGCTGTAAAAAAGTCCATAGCTGCAGAGTTACGCTGCAGGTACAGGCTGAAGTTATAATTGGTATGTTGGTAGTTCTGGTTCTGCTGGCTTGACTGGATGTACTGTTCTCAAAAGATTGAAAGCGCAATGTGTTTCATGGAAGGCCTGAATTTTCTTTAGGAAAAATGTTGTTCAGTGATTTGCTTGAGGTAGTTGCAAGTTATTTGTCTTGCTTGAATTGCCAGCCTGTCTGTGCATTAGTCAGCTAGCATCATTTAAAAAAAAAACGCCCAAAAACCAGACTGGAAGACAAAGAAAGTTCTGTTGGCTTACAAAGCTGTCTTCTATTCTTAGTATGTAAGTACAGTGTTTTAAATAAATTGGAAAATGAGAAGGGAGATTTTTACTACTGGTTTTCACTGCTAGTTATGAGGAAAGGAGGGAGGCAAGTGCAGTCTAGTTTGTCTTAAATTTAAAAGGGTACTTGGATGTAATCAGATTTTCATCAAAACCAATCATAAATCTGGCCTATTGTTGAGCTTGAATAAGCTAGTTCTGGGTGAGGAAGGAGGATTAAATGTCAGTCTGTGAGATTGCACTGGCTTACCTAGGATCTGTGCTTAGTTGTAGTATTTTATTTTTGTAGTTTTAACCCTAGGTACTGGTATTCAAAGATTTAGTAGTCTTGTGAAAACTTTAGACCTGCTTTTTGTACGCATATGCATGCGTGTATAAAAATAGATAAATTGCCACTGAACATTCTAGTTTAGGGCAGTAAAAATTATTTAATTCTTTATATATTTTTATTTATAGTAATGGATACTGAATTTATGTAAGTAGAAAAATTATTAATTAAAAGATTTTATATATTATTTAAATAACAAAGTATATATACTATAGTAACAAAGTACTGCCAGTGTTACTAAATTATAAGATTGAACTTTAGAACTGTTAGCTAAAATAATGTAGGACTGCATACTCTGCTTTTCAGTTAGTTTACTTCTATGTTTACTAGCAAACTGTTTTGGTTTTATTTTTTGTTTGTCAAACGTTGGAACACTGGCTTTCTCTAAACTGACTTTGTCTGGAAGCAAATCTGATCACTTCAAAGGACTAAAATAGTTGCTCCGAAGCCCTTTGCTGTCATTGCCCCAAGCAGTTTGGAAGTGTACATTTTGGAAGTCTATGCTATGATGCTGTATATAACAGGGGAAGTGTGAACAACTGAGTGCTGTCTTGTGCTCCTGCCTGCTGCAGGGTGCTTTGGAGTATCAAGGAAAGGGGAAACTCCAAGGTTAAACCAATAGACAGCATCCAAAGACTTTGAGGGAAAGCTGTCAGTATTAAAAGGTTTCTTTCTTGAAAGGAATATCGATGCTTAATCTGGTAGGTTTCCTTCACATTTCACTTAAAATGGAGATGTAAGTTATGACAAAGAGACATACAGTAAGCGTATTTTGGAGTAAAATAGCTAACACATAGAATATTTGGAAAGCCAGTGTATTTCCTTTGATAAACATAGTGACCATTGAAGATGTATCTACACTGCATGTTAACCTTGATAAATATGCATGATATGAGTTGCTGCTGCCTGAGCTGGTTCAGGTTACTGCATTATGCAGATAGCTTTACTTGCTTTCACTGTAACTGATGTGGCTTACATAAGCTTCTAGAAGGGCTTTAGGACTCCTATTAGGAGTTCCTAAAAGCAGGACTAGTTTGGTGAAAATAATATGCATTTATCACCTCTTGCTTATAAAATCATTGGGTCAATCTGCTCTTACAGCTTTATTATGAGGCATGTAGGTCTTTGAATCTTTATCCTCTGTGTGAGATATGCGTCTATCCTTGGTGACATCAAGAAGAGGGAAAAGTGATGAATTTACTCCAAAAAAATTCTAAATAGTATCTGAGCAATAAATCCGTGTTAGTAAAAATATGACTACATTGCAGTTAAGAATGCTTGCCACTGTAAAGGATATGTATGCTACTTGTAATATTACTGTTGTTTTCCTATTTAAAGCTGAATTAAGCTTTGTATTCACTAATAAGAGTGCGCATTGAAATTAGTGGTAGCAGCTGTATTGGTAATGTAAATATGCTTTTTCCTTGTAAATAATGCAAAAATGCATATAAAGAAAAATATGCACTAGTTTGTCTTTTGTCTTTTTTCCTTATTTTTTTTTCCAGTAAAGTGAAGCAAGGGCTCCTTCCTAGCTTAGAAGATCTACTTTTCTATACTATTGCAGAAGGACAAGAAAAAATACCAGTTCATAAATTCATAACTGTAAGTTTACCGCTCTGGAGTGCTATATGAAAGTGCTATATGAAACATTCCAAATGCAAGGATACAAAGCAAAGAATTTATTATACATGGATAGCTGCAGCAAGGAATGTAACTTAATTTCCCCCACCCCCAATGTTTCTGTATTTAAGAGAATGAGTGTACTTGTATTGTTACTACTTTGCTGTGCAGAAGAGTAAGCTTTAATGCATCTGTGTCTGTGTCTGTAGTGTTTGCACACATGTAAAATGCAGTTGGGCCACTGTGGATTTCAATGACTAATCCTTTTACATAAGATGCAGCCAAAATGGCAAAAGAAAATGGCGAAAGGATCAAAAAAACTGTCAAAATGTCTCTGTGTTGAGAGCGCAGTAGCAGATGGCTCTCATCTTGATAAATGAGGCTGAGCAATAGAGAACTTGATAGTAAAAACTTACATTCTCATTTTAGTAATTATTCTTTTCTTGTAATAGGCACTCAAATCTACAGGATTGCGTACATCTGATCCCCGATTGAAAGAATGCATGGATATGTTAAGATTGACCCTTCAAACAACTTCAGATGGCGTTATGCTGGACAAAGACCTTTTTAAAAAGTAAACTTTGTGTCAATAATGTAATTGTATAATTCTGGATGAATATTGTCTGTGTGTTACTGACTGCTCTATTGGGAGAGGCGTATATATATCTATGCATAACTAGAAGGGGAGTCAAACGCACACTCCTACTGATGCTATTTTCATATGAGTTTGTTCTCTGGTTTCGTGGAGCAGATGGATTGTGTGATCTCCACAAGAGTTTAATGTATCAGTGTTGTTTGCATGTGTATCTGACCCCATCCTTCAACTCTTGGTCAGATGCCAAATGAATTGATTGAGGCAGCAGGGAGTATTTAGTATGAGTACATAAAACTTCTCTCTCGCTGCCTCACCAGTTTTTAATCAGGAATTCAGGATGCCGCTTCTGTGTAGCGAGAAGTTGGGTGTACAGATATAGTATATGTCTGCATATACTGTATCTGTATGTATACACAGTATATATCTGTACTCCCATAGCTAATTCTAAAAGTGAGTATATGAAAAATAGAGTGACATTAAATTTCGGGATATGTAGAGATGAGAGCAGTTAGGACTGTAGTCACTGCTCTGGTTTGTTTTGGAAAAGATTTGTGTGCCATATTTTAGTGGTGCTTTTTTATTTTTTTTTTTAAGAGAAGTCTGGGGTTAGGTAGCTGAACAATATAAGCACTGTTCAGGTTGTCTTCAGTTCTTTCCAAGCACATTCCTTTGCTCCCCTGCCTACAGTTTCTGTGGGCTGAAAGATTGGAAGTTTAGAGGCTGTTAAATCTTGACATTAAATTTGTAGAATTTTTTGAGTCTGTATCTTTATTCCATTTGCAGGGTAAATGACATAATATCTAAAACTTGCTTCTTTTGTGAAAAGTATACTTTTCTCAAAATGGTACATTTTTTGCTGCTGTATATTATTGTTTTTAATTTGTAAATGAATGCTGTTTAGTGCTGTTTCCTCTAACAAGTTAAAATACGTACTTGTATACAAAAGTGTGTTTATGTGTATTGTGTATATATATTACATATATGTATATATTAGTGTATATACACTTAAGTATATAAAGTATATTGTATATGACATATACTTACATATTTACATGATTTATGTAAATATAAAGTATATATGTCATGTGGTTTTTAATATATGTATATATATCTAAACATTTTTGGAAGTACGTTGAGAAAAAATTTTGTGTGACAAGATAACAAACCAGTCAACTCTTTAATCAAATGTAGGATACATCTTAAAGGTACATCATGGACTAACTGTATTCCTGTATTTAAGTCTAAGACCAGGTCTTTAGTGGTTATTTGTCAGTGCAGTAAAAACTCTTAATTTGTTACAGTCGGGCACCTTCCTGGGTTTGTGGTTGGACTGGAAAGAAAATGCATTTGCTATTATGCATTACACTTCTACTAGAAGGCTTGTTTGTAGTAGTAAGCTATGGATTATGTTTTTAGGCAAAGGCTCCACATTAAAACAAAAGGCACATGATTGCAATTTAGCAAGATTAGCATAATTTTATGGCCAAGCTCTAGGATTTGATCCCCTTTGTTAGAGGAGTGATGTTAATATGATAATTTTTAGAAATCTTACATGGGTTGCTTCTTATGTAGGAAGAGTTTTGAACAAAGACATAATACAGAGGGTGGAGAAGTGAATCTCTTTCCACGTAGCAGATTTTTCTGCACAGCAGCAGGTGTTAACATTTTTTATAAATTATCCCCCCCAACTTCAGTTTTATGTTCTTCCCAGGCACACTGCATTTGCCATGTAGAGACTTGTGCAAGGTTCCTGCATTTTTTATTCTTCTCCAAGTATTTAAGGAGTGAAATATAATAATGTATCTACTCTGTTGTAATTACCTTAGGACTTTGAAGCTTCAGTTCCCTAAGCTTAAAAGTCAGTGGTATAGTTCTGTTGAATTTGAATCCAAAGTTGCTAGATCATGTAAAGCATTAAGGATAAATGACGTGGAGTAGTGTTAGCATAAGCTTGCCTGAATTGATGAAGTCCATTAGAAATTACCTGTACAATACGTTACCTCACGCATCTGTGCCTCTAACAGAAATTTCGCGATCTTTTTAGTGATTCTAAACATTAGGCTCCAATTTGGCTAAAATTGCTTTATTTTGGAGATTTTTTGCTTTGTAGTGCTCTCCACCTAAATAAAACTTTGGGGGAAAAAAAAATAATCCCAGTTACAGGCACAACAACTTGGGATTTTAATCTTTTATGTCCAGAGTTTCTGGAGTTGAAGGCTTCAGTAGTGTATGTTGTGGAGAGAGTGGTTTAGCTGTTCATGTTGCATCTATTTAGCATAACATGGTCCTTGCAGAATGAGTGATACCTCACTGGGAGCAGCATGTTTACTGAAAGCAGAACAGCGGGCTAGTTAGTCTGCTCTGTGAATTGTTTTCTCTTTTTTTGGTACCTTATGGTACTACTTAATATAGTAGTAGCACTCTAACTACTGTTAGATGAAACTTAGGCAGCTCAAAAAATACGAAAGATTGTACACACTAATCGTCAGAATTCTAACAGAAAAAGAGAAGACTTGCAAAAAGCCCTATTTCTTATCTGACAATATTAGGGTGAGAAGAAGGCGTGAGGCTATCGGAACTGTGTTATTTTGAAAATGGTTTACACTTGGATGGGATGATAGCTACTGAGTAATAGTTACAACTAAGGTTTAAACCCAATTCTTTTTCATATTGATTCACTTGGCTTTGTCATGAGGTGATGCCTGTCCTGCTTTATTGACCTAGAACTGTGGTCTTGCTAGCCAAATTTCCTATGATCTGTGGGTAGGAAGCAGCAATCTGGATAAGTTTTATGTTCTGAGCTAGACAATCTGTTGCTGGATCTCAGACATGGTTATCTATTTGTTGCTGAGGTGCTGTGCTGCTCTCAGTCTAGGTAGCAAATCCTGAGCAAAACCTTAATTTGAGCTGTCCTTAACCCAGATATTAATAAATGTTTTCATCCTCTTTGAGCAATTAGAAAAGTTTTGACAGAAGATGCAGAGGACTTCTGCTGTAATATTAATACTTCGTTTGTCAAAATGACATCACTTTTCCTTCTGAAATGTTTAATAGATATATTTACACTTCTACAGACCTAATCTCGCTCATTGGAAATAAAGTTTTACATTCCGTAATGCTTATACTGTAGCTCTTAGAACAGGAGAAAAGGTTTCCATTCAGTTATATAGATAGCTGAACAGTTCTTCAGCTGGGAGTGCAGGCTGTTGTGCTTTGTTTTTATTTTAGCAAGTATTTACTTGTGTAGGGAAGCAATAATCAGCAGTGTGAGACAGAACTTTAAAAAGAATAGTAAACGTAACAAGTTGTATGATAAAGGAAACAAAATTATTCAATCTTTATGCTAAGCCCAAAGATTCGGTTTAAAAAAAAAAAACCAAACCTAAACATCAGCCAACCCAACCAAAACTTAAATTTATATTCAGGTTATACAAGTTGCTGAAAGTTGTTACAGATGGTAAGACTCGCATCCTAATCCTCAATAGCAAATGTGTTGGGGAAGTTTTGTAGTTTGGAAGACCTGTTCTCAAATAGAAAAAGAAATACTAGGGTTGGGATTTGACAAGGCAAATTTTATATTTTAGGTTGAGATCATAAAGTTTGGGGAAATGGAAGAATTTGAGGTTGGAAGGTTTTTAGTCTACCTATCTTGAACACCACTAAAGTATGTGGGAGATAAGGCCTAAGCTGTTTGTCGAATTTGATTGTAGAAAGACTTTTATTTATCAGTATATATATTTATTTAAATTCCTTCCTTATCTTTTCTTGCTGCTGCACTTACCCTCAGCCTGAGGCCATTCATCTCTGAAGGGTTACCTGGGACGTAAACTGGTTGGAAACTCTGATGGGGAGGATATGTCAGTTGCAGAATATTAGAGGCTGTCAAGGCTAGTGTTGTGTTGACTGAAAGTATTACTGCCCTGTTAATTAGAGTTTTCCAGGACTTACGTTATTTTGTCTATGCAAGGGTAGTTCTGAATACTCATCTAGATTAGTTAAACTCCTTTATTTAGTTTAGTCTGTAAATTCATATAATTTGCCTGGGTTAAGGGTAGGTATGCAGGATAAATACCCAGACACTGACCTTGGCTGAATTCTGGGAACAGCATCTGCTTGCAAAAATAGGTAGTGTCCTTAACCAGCATAGCAGTTTCTGCGGTGATTTTCAGTCTCTAGGAAGTGAGCATCCTAGACTTGCTGTAAGTTAGTACATGCGTAAAAGCCCTTCCTTTTTCAAAAATGCAATGTGGTTTCAGAGGGTTGTATTTCAGTGCATGCTGTATTCTTGTTCTTTTCCGTGCTTTTTACTGAGTTGTTCTAATAGGTGTAGGTAACCCAAGAAGAGTGCTTAATGCTGTCTGGGTGGTACAGACAATGTAAGGCTGCATCTGAATTTTAAACATAGAGCGTGTTATGTTGTTACTCCTTCTGCACATCTAGCTGCCTTAACTGTTACTAATTACTGTCAAAAAAGGGTTGTTGCACCTGGAGTAAGTAACTGTAATTGGTGGCTGCTGGGAACAAAACAGGATTTTTTACAAGATAAATAAAAAAGGAGTGGATAAGCATAACAAGTTGCAACAAAACCGGCTCAACTGCAGTATTAGACTAACAAGTGTATTACGGAGCAATTCTGAAAATGGAAATGGAAAATTCTCAAATGTTTCTTGTTTGCCCTTGGAAAGCAGTGCCTGCCAGCATTTGAAATTGCTGTTAGTTCAGTTTGGGATAAAGTCTCCCAAGTCCTTTGAAGGATTTCAGCCTGAAGGTTTAAAAAAAGAGAGGGGATTCAAAGGAAAGATCATTCTGTCTGTTCATTGGTCTTCATGCATCTTAATTTTGAACTGATAATGACTTTTAATAATAAGATTATTGGAAGTATTTATTCCAAGTGGAAACATTTCCCTAAAAATTAGTGTGTTATTTCATTGTTCCTAATTTTCCAGTTGTCTGTATTAACAGTTTGTTTCTTTTGTTATTACTGCCAGAAAGCAGAGTATGAATGTGTTAACTGTTTGGTGTTAAATCTCCCTTTCTCTTCCTTGCACTGGGATGGGGCTGTTAATACCCTTTATCAGGTCATATTTTAACTGTCGTGATAATGGCTTCCAGTTCCCACCCCTGCTCCTGCTCAGTCCCCACTCATTGGCACACCACTTCCAGCAGCATGCCTCGGCTTGTGTTTCTGTCCTCCCTTTCATCTGTTTCTTTCCTTTTTAATTCTTCAGTTTTTTAAATGTACCAGATGGGCTGATGTTTGGAGGGTGTGGGTGATAATATAACTGTGTTCTGGGCTAAAAGGCAGCAAAGATGCCTTAACTGGCGGTAGTTTGGAGCAAGAGACTTGTAGTACTGCTCACTGTTAACTTTTGCTTAGTTTAGAAGATGTTATTGAGTAACTCCACAGGTTTCGCTCGAGTGGAGCCTTATTCCAGTTTGGTTTGTTGGCAGGGTTCTCGCTCCATTCATGGAGAAACTAGTTGGAAGTGAGACAGACCAACCCTGAACCTTGGAAGTTTGTCCTGACTCTGAAATTGGTGCTTACTTGGGCAAGAGCTGGGTTAGAGGACCTTCATGTCTTGATCTTAAAGGGGTTGGTTAGATCCCTTATGCAAGTTTAGATGCTACTTGAAGGCAAATTGATAGTGTTTAGCAGGACAGCCTCACAGCTGAAACCTCAAAGAAGAGTTTTAAGTAAAAAGGCGTAAGAATGAATGCAATGACACGTTTGTAAATAATGTAAAAACAAACTTGCATAGTAAAGACATGTTCTTGTGGACATATAACTACAAGGGACTGATGGTCCTTATTTAAATAGCATGTAATTGCTACTTAAGTAGGCTTTTTGGCAGTACTTTGTCAAAAATACTAATAAATTTTTAACTTCTTGCAGGTGTGTACAAAGTAACATTGTGTTGCTTACTCAAGCTTTCAGGAGGAAGTTTGTCATTCCAGATTTTATGTCGTTTACTTCACATATTGATGAGCTCTATGAAAGTGCTAAAAAGCAATCTGGAGGGAAGGTAACCTCTTTGTAAATTCAACTTCAGACTTCTGTAGATTTCTTAATATTAACCAAATACATTCTTCATTCTTTAAGTGGGCAGGTTTTTCTTAATGTTTTAGCAAAATGTTAAATTGATAACTTGCTTAAATAGTTTTGGAAGTTCAGTTATGTCTGCAACTTCTAAACTGTGTTAGAAATACAGCTTCTTACCTCTAACAGACTTTACAGTTTTGAGATCAGAATGAGAAATAGCATTGTTCTTTATTTTACATAAACTATGCATAAATTATAAAACCGCTGTACAATTTGTCAGACTAAGCAGTATGTAAAAAAATTATGCTACCCTGCACAACTGGCTAGGTTGTGTGTCAAATAATTGCCAACACTGTACCTGTGTTCATAATGAAAATTTATTCTAACGGTTATTTCTAATAAATAAATTGAATACCTTTGAACTTTGTCACAAGCTAAAGTTTTATGTGTTTTGAAAAGGTGAACATGCTGTAACACAGAAGGGATTCCTTGCAGAATGTGCTGAAGTTTGCACTTTGAAAAAAATGGTTTTATAATCGTCTATATAATATGAGTATAATAATTTCTAATGAAATTTTAGGTACACTAGGTGGTTATTAGTGGAATAATGCAGTTGTATGTTGTGCATCCTTTCCATTGACATTTATTTTAATTAATGTTTATTAACACATAGTTAAACATTTTGGATGTTGTAATGTCTCTCTATTTATTCATGTAATAGGTTGCTGACTATATTCCACAACTGGCCAAGTTCAGCCCTGATTTGTGGGGTGTGTCACTTTGCACAGTGGACGGACAGAGGTATATTCTAACTTTTAGATTTTGCTATTTCAGTTACTTGAACTATTTAACATATACAGCACTTCATGTTATCTCATGGCTTAATAAAGGAAAAGATTTATTGGAGTTGTTAAAGAAGTAAAATACACTTGGTCATCTTTCTTAACTTTTTTCAACTTTTCTGTTTATCTGAATTATTTTGCTCTCATAAAATATTGTTTAAATAGTATTCGTAAATACTGTATTTAAAGCTGGATTATGTTGCGTTTAAGATCCAAACAGTAATGAAGCTGTATGTAATTATCATTATGAAAGGACAGGATAGAGACAATGCTTATGTAGTATTAATCTTTGGAGGTTGAAGATTTGTCTAACAGTATGCAAGCCCCAGGCTGTATTACTTTTTCTGCAGGTCACGATGTACTTGAAAGTTAATACCTTTTCTGCATTTTAATGTTCTTACTGTACGATTTTTATGCGATTGCTGTATGTCACCAAAAAAAAAAAAAAATCTGATCCATATTTAAAAAGAAAACAAAGATGGGGAATCTGTACAGAGCTTAACATGATTTTGCTTTTTAGTTTCATGGAACTTTGTCCTGTAAGGGTGTATATACGTCTTGAATGTAGCTAGAGTCATCTTACTTTTATTTTTCCTTCATTCATAACTTGGTGTAGAAGAGACAGTTGTGAGCTGGTGTAAAGGGCTGTCTCACACCGACTATCTGAGAAGTAAGGTAAACTATTTCATGTCTGCCTCTGTGACTAGACAATATGAGATACTCATCAGCTTGCATGTCTCTGCTGGCCTGCAGTTTGATAGGTTACACTGCGTATTCTGACTGACACAATTTTTAGGTGTTGAGGCATTCCTGAAAAGAGCATCAGACTTGCTTATGGTGATTGTGGATTGGTGTTCATTTTAATGTTATCTTATGTCCTGTATGTTTGTTTTTTATAGAGCATATGGCTCATAATCTGTAGGGGAAGAGCTGTACAAGTGAGCTGAAGTCTTTTTCAGCTTCCTGCTAAAGTGTCTGAATTATAATCTATTAATGGTAAAACAGCTTTAAAAGTAAAAATATTCTCCCTTTTCACAATTTTTAAATTGGCACTTTGCTTTGTTTTGGATACTATAACAGGTACTAATGAAAGTTTTTATGATGTTAATTTTTATAACATTTAATGGTGTGTAATGTTAGTTTTTATAATGACAAATTGGTTTTGTGAGCTTTCTGAAAAAAAAAAAAGAAGAAAGCAGACTTTGGATTTTTGCCATCAGACAAGCGGTTGCTTGGAGCCTTTTGCTCTAGATTGGGCATATGATGCTTGTATGAGTCCTTCTTTGATGCAGTCTTAGATGTTGAAAGTAAACTGTCCAAAAGATAGCATTTAATAATTGCTATAAAATACCTATGCTGTTATCAAAGGGAATGTAAATACAGCTATTTAATTGTTGCCCTCAAGTTCTAAAACTGAATTGAATCTCATCTTTGTTTATATAAGCTTGGGTTTGTATAGAGGCTATATTCATGTCAGCTGTAGAGTATGTGTTTACAGTTGAGTAGGGTAAGTGTACTAGAGGTCTGAAGTGATTTTATTTTCTCTGGTACAGACCCATTTCTGAACATGGTTTATTTTGTTATATTTGAAGTAATCACCAGCACCTGACTTTGTTATGCTTAGCTTACGGAGGCAATTGTTAAAGACTTTAAAGCTTTTTGACATGTTTAAAAAGAGACCTAATAGTAATATGCATTTGGTTTTGGGAGTCTTTTGTTAATAGTCCTAATATGTTATAGAATGAAGCGTTTACCACTGTACTTGCTACAGCTGGCAAACAAGAAATTCATAATCTGTTTTGTTTTTCCCAGGCATTCTGTTGGCGATACCAAAGTTCCATTTTGTCTCCAGTCCTGTGTAAAACCTTTGAAATATGCTATTGCTGTTAATGATCTTGGCACAGAGTATGTGCACAGATACGTTGGTAAAGAGCCTAGTGGATTAAGATTCAACAAATTGTTCCTGAATGAAGATGGTAAGAGATGTATAATACTTAATAATGCAAATAATTTTAGAAAATTATGAAACAAGCTATGCAGGTTTTTGTTTTTTTGTTTGTCTGTTCATTTTGCCATATCCTCTTGAGTCTTACTATTAGAAAATGTCCCAAAATATTTTGCTATCGGCAAGGTAGGCTTATCCTTTGTCACTTGCTTTAGCCTAATTTAGAATGGTAGTAAAAGATGTTTTATTACTTCTGTTTTATCTGCTCGTTATCCAGCTGTAGGAAAAAACAATGAATTTTGATAATGCGAGTATTTGAAATGTATATTTATTTAGATGAGTTGATAGCATGTGTTTCTTAATAGTGTCTTCTGTAAAAATGATGGTGAAAGAATCAAAGATGTTAAACTGATTTTAAGAAACTTTTATATTCCTTCCTTTCTCAGACCTCTGAGAAGCAGGTGCTGGTGCCAAAGGCCAGCACTGGGCAGGTTCCAGAAGGCAAAACTGAACATATCTTCCCACAGATTATTCTAAAGTGAATTTGGCTACTGTTTCAAAGCACTGTATTTTTTCCCTGTGGCAGGAGTGCTTTAGCATGAATTTCTCATACATTACTTACTTAGATTATTTCTTTTTTTCCTGTTATACTAACTCTCAAGCATGAAAATGTTATTTTTAAAAACATTGTGGCAAAAATCTGAGTTGAGTGACTCATGTAGCTTTAGAGGAGATACTGGGTGTTATCTCTGAAACACAAATGTTCCTTCTAGCGGAGAACAGGCAATGTTTCTGTTACCATGGTATTGAAATTAATATTTAATTAACAGCATAGGGCTTGGATTATATTTTGGCAAGGACTCTATTGAATTCTGACTTAAATATCTATATTATTAAATATGTTAATGGTACATAATTGTATTTAGTATATACCTTACAATCATCTTTTCAAACTTAAACACAATTTTTTCCTTCTTTTTTATTATGTTAGTAAGTGGTAATGAAATACCAACATGCATATATATGGCCAAGAAGGAATGAAGCCTTTTGTCAAGCTTTGCTGTCTTGTTTTTGCTTTCCCAGTTTTTCCAAATACAGTGTCATAGAGTGTAAAGATGACTACCTTTCATGTCCTAAGAAAACTTTCAGATAAAAAAAAAAACCAGCTTTGGTGCTGAAAATTGCTCATTTTTTCTTTGGCTCAATATAGGTGTTCTTTGGTTTTGTGTGTGTTTGTTGTGTTTTTTTTTTATTTTTACTTTTAATGGAATTATAGTGTAATAATTTCTTTTTTTATTGCTACTTTTAAAATTGAAATACGAGGAGGTGAATTGTTAGGCCGGGGTATTTTATATTACGGTTAGACTTCAAGAGTGCTTGTAAGACTTATGCAGCAAGAGAATTGGGATTATTGAAAGTTTGACCAGTGTGCATGAAGTTCATAGAGAAAACTAATTCACGTGGTAAAAGTTGTAGTTTTCAAGTTTGTGCTTGTGTGGCTGATACAATCGGCATGAGAAAAATGCATTAGAATATAACCTGAAAAGCTTCTTAAACAACAGATCTAAAGCAGAATGTAGGAGTCTAATAAATAGGAACATTTCAGTTATAGGGAAAGAGAATTTGAGTTTCTGTGAGTAAAGGAAGAGGAGGGAGGCAGGGATTACACTTAATGTATGAAGACTTAAATTGTTGTATGAAATTTGGATATGTGGAGTATTTGGCAGTTTGAACATACATAACTACTTTGAAGATCAGATTTGAAAATAAAAAATGATATTTATTTGGTTTCTGACTCTGATATAGTTGAATTTCATGTTTGTAATCAGGGTTTGATGAAGTGATATACAGATACTTGAAAACTGGTTAGCTGTTTTTTTATACTTACTGCATTAAAGATTCATAAACCAGGATGTTCTTCATTTTCTTTGTTTACTAGTATTGAGATTCGAGCAAGACTATTACAAGGCAATTTTAAATCAGCTAAAAATGTCAACTTACGTGATTTTTAGTAACATTGTTTTGTTATAAGTTTTGAATAAAAATCTGTGCTGCACGATAGAAATTTGGGAATTTCTGCAGCTTTATGAATATTAAATTTTAAAACTTTCCTTTAATCAAAAGGAACACATCAAACAGTTCAGAGTTCTGGAGGAATAAAGCAGTTCCCATGTTAATTAAAACAAGATTATTATAGTTGATTGAAGTAGATCAAGAATCTTGCATAGTAAAATGTGTCTGAAGTAGGTATCATCAGGAATAATTTTCCTGGTTATGTCATTGAGCAGTTTGCAGTTTTTTTCATGCCTTTTGAGTTTATAATGCAACATGTCTGACAATACCTGTATGCATGTACAGTTAATATCTCTTGCCCATACACATGACCTTCTCTTGCTGATAATCTGTAAAGTTAGTGCTGTAATATAATTTTGTGGAATTTAGTGCAGTAATAAATGTTGCATTGTAATTAAATGAGGGATCACTAGGAAACTCTTTATTCTGCTGAAGGATTTTGTTAACTGAAGACATCATTCTTTCTGTAAGTTATTGTCTTGGACAAACACTGTGAGCCAGTTGTACAAGAAAGGCCTAAGGTGAATGATGGACAAAAAAGTTCAGAAGAACTGGCAGAGGAAAAGCACTGTAACTTCAGCTTATTAGGGGAAAGCTCTGGTTTGTCTATGGCATAATTTCATGGCAGGTTGGTAGAGCAGTTGTGCGAGCTGTCAAACAGTTTTGAGATATTAAAAATTATGTATTTTTCACCATTTCAGTAGTGATGTTCAGTGGAGGCATTTTCTAATAACTAAATATATTTTCTCTTATTTTGAATTTAGATATACCTATTAAATATGTTACAGCTGTCTAGGTAAAAGGCTGTTCCAGATAAGTATCTCCTTCCCACAGGGAGCACTGTGCTGTATTAGTGAAGAATGCATTTATTATTCAGAGGCTATTAGGTGGGTGGTTTATGCAAGAGGCAAATTGTTGAATCAGTGGTAAACTTAATCAGGGCACCCCAGATAAAGGCAAAGGGTTATTAAGACTTGTGCTTTTCATTAAGGCTAAAAACATGAATTTACTCCAGAGTGTAATGATACAGTAATACACAACTTCTGCAAGTCTCATAAAAGGTTTTTTTCAGTCTGAGCAGATCACTGCCTTTGTTATTTGATTATATGTAACATATGTGTGTGTGTTTATGATGTGTGTCAGTTAGCTTTGCAGAGTTTGATATCTCTAACAATTAATAGATCCATTTGTTCACCTTTTTGTTGCAATTATGTTATCAACCTTCATTACTTGTTGTACAATGTGAAATACCCTTGCTGATGGTGCCTATATATCCCTAAGAGGTGAAAAAAATACCGGGGAATGGAAGTGTTATTGATGGGAGTGGAAGACAGCTCTTCTTTGAAATAAGCAGGAATCTTTCAAAGATTTTTTTTTTTTCTAGGCATCCTGGCCCTTAGAAAAGGCCAGTAAGTCTGTGGAGAGTTTCTTCATTGTAGAATAGAATAGAATATTTTTGTTGGGAGTGACCTACAACAGTCATCTAGTTCAACTGCTTGACTGCTTCAGGGCTGGCCAAAAGTTAAAGCATGTTATTAAAGGTGTTGTCCAAATGCCTTTTAAAGGCTGACAGGTTTAGAGCATCCACCATCTCTCCAGGATGCCTATGTAGCTATTGTGGCAAGAGGTGTTAAATGGTATTATCTGGTGCTTTCACTATCTAGGGATAATAGTGAAAATTGCTTTCCTGGGACCTAGTACCCTGACAAGGTTTATTCTGCTTAGAAGAGGCAGCAGTGGATTAATGGAGGGTGTCAGAGCTGTAATGTGCTGTTTTTTAGGCAGCAGTAGGAGACCCTCAGAGAAGAGCTTTTGTTAGTGTGTGGTAAGCCAGACTGCTGTATGTCCCCGTAGCTGTGAATGCTTCCACAATGATTTTTCTTTGCTGACTTATCAAGGTGGAAACAAAATACAACATCAGAATTTCAGAAGCACATTCAGAAAAGTCCATGTTTAATTTCATCAGAAGGTTCTTGCCATTCTTATGTGAGGGCAGCACATAGAGGTGTGTTGGTTGGAAAGGGGCCAGAACTGGTACACGTAGTTTGAGATTCTAAGCAATGAGAGATGGGAATCTGCAGAGTAAAGGAAAAGGTAACCAAGAATGCCTTGTGACAGTGAAGATAAGTGGAGAATTCTTGAAGGAAGTGAGATGCAGTAGAATTTCTGAGGGCATGTGCTCTGTGGATGTATCACATTGATAAGCTTTTGAGTTGCCAAATGCTGAATAAACATTATATATCCTTTTTAATAAAATATACATGTGATGTGTAGAGGATTGTGTGTGATTTAAGTCATTAATGTACTTATGGACTGGAATAATACCTGATGTTGATGAGAGGAAACGGTATACCCTAAGTGTAGCTAGAGCAAGCAATGCACAAAGCCAGTGTTGTGTTGGACTGTGTGTCTGGAGTTGGGATCTCCAGTTGAAAAACTGGAGAGGGCTTCAGTGAATGACTACCAAAGCGCTGTGCAGTCCTGGCCATGTAACTTCAAGGAGCAGTTGAAAGAGGAGGTTAGGAGCTCCCCTGGGAGCCATTTAAACTCTTGAGGAGCAATTGCAAAGGTGAAGGTTTGTGTAACTCTTCTTGGTAGTGGCAGGTGATATAAAAAGGACCAGTGGCCTCCCCAGTGTGGCTTGGGACTTGCAGGCTGGATGTTAGGGTAAACTCTAGAAGGATCAGGATTGATGGAGAGTTAGAGGATTTGCCATGTTTGGTTGTTTTCAAGACTTGAATAAAGGTATGACTGATCTGATGAACCCTTGGCAATAGCTTGGCTATGAGTAGGAGGGTGGAGGAGATGACCTCCAGATGTTCCTTCTGACCAGCAGTCTGTGATGCTGGGGTTTGTCATTTGACTTGAAACGCCTTTGACTGGTTTTCAGGTTTGTAGTCCCTAAGGAGAGAGAGTTGGGAAGCTATGGAAGTGCTACGTTTTTCTTACTCAAAATCTGTTTTTAATCAGAAGTCAAATATATTTCACTTAAGGTATTGGTCTTAGCTTTTCACTAATAGAATAACTTGATTTTTTTTTTCTTTTTAAAAAGTTCCTTTTAATGTTGGTTTTCTGAAACATATTAAAAGGAACTTGAGATGATTCGTTTTTTAAGATTATCTTATAGTTCTGTATGGCTAAATGCTATTGACCATGACCAGGATAATTTTCATGACAAAATACATGTCTGCGTATATACTGTGAATATGAGACTAATCTCCAAAAAGCAGTCATCTCAAGTTCTTTTTAAAATGTGCATGTGTTATATAGGAATAGTGAACTCTGTGTGTGTTTTTAAAATAAATATTTTGGAGATAAACAAAGTAATGGCAAATTAAAGGAAGAATTCAAACTTACCACAATATTAATGCATTGAGAATTGGTTGAGGTTTTCAGACACCAGAACTCTCAAGAATCGACATCCTAGTTTAAAGGCACAGCAAAAATGTTAGTTAATACAACAGCAAAAGAAGATAAGTATTAGGAGGTAGATGTTAATGAATGAATGTACTTTTTAAAAATGGCTGATAAGGAAAGCTTCTTATGGAAAAGAAAGATTCATTCACATGAGCCGGTAGAATGACTGGGAATGTAAAAATACTGTTAATAGGGAGGTTAGTGATAAACAACTTCAGTGTATTAGGTACATGCAAGTCAATTATAAAGTAAGTTCTAGTGAGGATGAGTAAATTGTTAGTTGTATTTCAGGAACTGCCAATAGGAACCTCTTGATTTTTAAAAAGACACAGGATTTTGTATTCATGTACAGCAATAAAGAAATTCAAGAACTGGAATTCTTTTTGTTTAAGGACCTGTCTGAATGCTTAAAATCACTGAGACTTGGTAACTTGCAGGAAAAATTGGAAAGTCCTTTAGGGATTGTTCCACTTGGATGTGTTGCATTGATCAAATCTTGAAACACTGAGGAGGATTCAAAATCTTCAAGAAAAGAAATGACAGCAAACAGATAAATTTACTGGGCTATTAATCAGTGTTAGGCTAAGTGTGTCCTAAAGTGTAAAAATACTTTGCTCACAATTACAAAACCGTCTGTATAATGTTGGACTAAAAAGTTTTTAATTTAGGATGGTATTCTGTAATCATAACTTTCAGTCATAGATTAATACTTGGTTTTACCTTAATATTTATAATTTTTCTCTTAAATGCTAGTTAATACTTAAAATTTTTCTCTTAATTACTTTTCTAGTTTTGTTTGACAAATGTGTCTTGGCATGTATTTGTAATTGAAAACTTTATTTCACAGACAGGCCTCATAACCCTATGGTGAATGCTGGAGCAATTGTGATCACATCTTTAATCAAGGTAAAAAGTTAATTTTTAGTTTCTCTCGGAGTATTTTAATAGAAGGTAGAAAAAGTATTTTGTGCAGATTATGAACTGTTTTCATTTTGTGTGTGCATTATTGGATGGCAGTTTACTCATGAGTAGGTAGACAGACTGATGTTTTGGAAACAGTAACGCTTCCAAACAAATGCAGTATTGGATTAGTAGGTTTTTAAAAGAAACAGTGCAGCTGAAGGACTCTCTTTTTCCTTAGAGTTTTTAGTTTTGTTTCCTTCTTCAGCTGCACAGTACTTGATACTCTCTTGAGAGAATTGCCTCATACTTGTTAAATGCTAAGAATATATCCTCAGGAGTATACTCTGTAGCACTCAGAAATGTGTTTCTGAATGTCTAATGCTCTTATATAGTATAAAGTTACAAGAATATTTCTTGCTGTGCAAAAGAAATGCAAGAGACTATAACCTGTACAGGAGCAATGCAGCTATATGTCAGTTTTAATACTGAATTTGTCTGCTATTAACATACTCTACAACTAAATCATGTTTAATTTTGATGCTTCGTAGTTTCTGTTGGTATGTTAAATGTGTTTTCTCAAATAAGTATGTTTGGAAACAGTTACCTGTGTTTTATGCAGTAAAGCATAGCTGAATAATGACAAAGCATCTTTAGTCCATGATCTTGAGATTTCTAGAAAACTGTATTTGATTTTTCCTTAGTGTAGCTGTATATATCTCTTGCAGTTGTAAGTGGCACAAATTCCGTGTATTGCTAATGTTTGCCAGATACTTTACTTGTATTTTCTGACTTTTTTTGGTAGCCACTGTTACAATAAAAATACTATTTGTTTTTATTTTTCCGGAGGGTAGCTGCGTAAAACTGTAGGGAACATGTCAGTCCCCTGGAGTTTTGAAGTAGAAAATTTAATACTGTTACTTCAGAGGTCTAAAAATCTTGTTTTTCTTTTTATGTTTCAAGGTCCATCAGTGTGTTTCCTACTTCCTATTTCCAAATTGTTGATTTTTAAAATTACTTAGATCATGATTTTCTGTTATTTTATATTTAAAGAAGGTATAAGAACTCCTGCTTAAAGACATTTATCTTTAATAGCTGTAGGTGAAAGAAAATGGCCTTAAGTATGACAGGTAAATTTATTCACGTTTAATATCTTTTTAAAGGTTGACTGAGCATTGAAATTCACTTTGGATAATAGTGAATTTTAAAAACCTGACTGAACACATTTGTCTGAAATGTTAGTCGTACTACAACATGCCCTACTGGTCAGAAGGCAAGACACAAGCATGTGCCTCTTGAAGGCACATAGTTCTTGATAAATGGTGTACTTCTGAACAGATAACATGGATTTGTTTACTGCATGCAATTGTGGTATTTGTTAGAAGGTTGGGGGATTGTTTTTGCTGGGTGTTGTTTTTTTTTTTAATTTCTTTTTTTCCATAATGTTCTTACGAAGAGTGTTGCATTGCACTAACATTTTTTGCATGTGGTAACTGCACGTCTAATGGACGCATATCTTATCACACTCCATTATTTGTTTCCAGTGTGATTAAAATGTAGATTATATTATGTACTGCTTATACTAAGATACCATTTATCATTTGAATAACTAACCAAAGTAAACATATTCTGAGGAAAATTACATAGAGGGTCACAGGTACAAAGTTACTTAATAGTTGCATTTGTTGTAAAATAACTTCTTCTCAGTCTCCAACTTAACAAAATTCCTACTAACTATGCAGCAATTTAAGTGATTGGCTTCTATATTTGATCTAATCTAAGTCTTTATTTTTATTTTTTTTTCTGGAAAAGCTGGCTTCATTAACCCATGTTTTGCCCTCAGTTCCTGTGCATTCGTTCTGTCTACTAAGGTGTTACTTGCGTATCTTGAAGACTCTGTATGGCACTTAGAGTCCAAGAAAATTAAGAGATTCTTAAACATGGTTGCATTCAGCATGTATGACACTCATCTAATGGTAACATGTTGATAGCTGTAGAGAGATGTTGCTGTATTTCACTGTTACCTCCTTTGATAGTCATTATTTTACCTTTCTGAGAAATTGATTCAAGAAGTCTTCCAAAATTTACGTACATCACACTGAATTTAGCAGATGTTAGCGTGCACGCTCTTGCACACAACTGTCCTTAGTATCTGACACAAATTACAATTACTAAGAGATGATGCTTTTTGTCAGAATATGTAATGTTAATATAACATTTGGGGGGGGGGAGAGAGGTGGGGGGGGAAAGGTTCTTAGCATCATATCCCCAGCTCCAAATTTAAGAATTTGGTATACACACCTTGGAACTTAGAGCATAGACCTAAACTATAACGTTACGTTTAGTCCATGCTACTCATAAGAAAGTGTATGTGCATGTTTAGTACAACATTTATTTGGCTTACTTGGGCATGACTGTGTCATACTTTTACCAGCTTACATGATTCTTCTGTTGTCATGTGCTTGGAACTACGATATATTTACATTTTGATGCTTTAGCTCATGGCTCTGTTCTAACTGTACTTGCATTGCACTCCACAGACTTTACAGCAATTTAAAGCATGTATCGACAATAAAAATGCTTGAGCAAAATGACCTCCTGTGGGCCAGTTTTAAGGAAATAAAATTTTCTAAACCCCTAAGAACCTTTTCCTTTGATTGTAATTGTACAGCCATTTGCCTTTATTACTACTTACATAAATTGCATAGCTGCAAGAATTTTCAAATAACTCTTACCAAAAAGAAAATTGTAGTGGCAATTACCGAAGTTTGTGGAAAAGTGATATTTGATAAAATGGTAAATTCTTCCGTGTCTCCAAGGAAATGCAGGTGCTTGAAATCAGAAGATTCAGATTTAGTACAGATTCAGTGCTCTGTAACCACTCAGCTTTCTGCACATCACATTGACTAGGATAAGTCTTCATTGCCTGTAGTATGAGTAGGTATTTAGTGTTTGAGCTGTTGTTTTTTTCTTAAACCTCAAACTCAATTTGCAAAGCCTGAGAACTCCAGAAATGTCAGTGTTTGTGTCAGCAGTTGCCCACTTACATGTATCTTTCCTGACTGGGGAGGATGGTGCAGTAGAGATGCAAATGAGGTGAAGAAAAAAGGTTTTGGAGTGAAATATGTAGAAGGAGGCAAATGGCTGTGGAAGGAATCACCAGAGATTCAAGATTCCATCTGTAGATAGACATTTTCATAGTAAAACAGCAAATACAGTGTTTATGAATCCTCCAGGTGCTGACAGCCACATGCATAATCTTATACAGACTGTGGTAGACTAGAATGCTCAGTGAAGGGGGAGGTATTCTGTGGTGGCAGATTAATGTGGGAAGCATTTAGACATGTTGGGGTGGCACAGCAATAATCATAGTCCTTGCAGAAGAAGTGGTGTACAAGATGAAAATGCTGATCTTACTGACCCTGAAGAAACTACATTCAGTGAAAGCTTTGTGTTGTTGGTTTGGGGGTTGTTTTTTGGTTTTTTTTGTATAAAACATGGAGGTGTATCTGATATAACAGTTGGACTTGATCTTAAATGTCTTTTCCAACGAGGCTGATTCTATGATATATTTAAGAGCTTTCTGCTGATAAATCATAAAACAAATGAGACAAAGTGTGGTGCAAAAACCTGTCCAGCTGTGCCAAGGATCTGTTTGCCGTTGGGATAGTTACTGGGAAACCCATACAGTTATGGCTTACTACGTGAGGAGTGGGGAAAAACACATGGTTTATTGGGTTTATTTGACAATATAGTTACAATAAATAGTACAGATTTAGCTTAATTGCTGTATGCTACCCACTGCAGTTACCCTTCCTGATAGACTGATGTGTAAATGTATATACATACCACCTTAAAACATGTGTTGGCATTGTGATCTTCTTTGCCAGATACTTGTCTTTATTTTGATGAAGTTTCCTCTCTTCCTGAGTTATTAATTCTCCTGGAGTAACTAATTTTGGATAGAATATACTTTCATGTTATTCTGCACTTTTTATTATAACTTCAGTGTATTGAACATTATTTGACATAGAATATGTAGTAGTGATGTTTAAAATGACATATGTTGAATGGTCACATATAAATATTTTAATACCTGAAGGACACAAATAATTCCTACATGTATTTCAAATAGTAATAGTACTGGTCTTAGTGGGTCAAATGCTGTCGGTGACAGTGTGCTCTCAAGTATTTCAGAGCTGCAATGGCACGCTAAGCCGTCAAGACACCAGTTCTCACAGAAAAGGCCCAGATTAACACATATAATTAAAAACATATGTAAGTACAGAAAACTAAACACATTAGTTAATGTAAAATGCACAAATGTAAACAATGTTTTCTTGCATCCTTGACATAGTATTAAGATTATTTTATTTCCCCTGGATGTTTTTCATACAGTGATAGGTTATAAATTTGGCTTAAAAAAAAAATCAAACTAGAAAATTTTTTTTAAATAACCTTATATTATTAGAAGATTATAAACTTCTGATGATCCAGATGTTTTTATTAGCTTGGCTTAGATTCAAAATTGAAAAATGACTTTAACAAGAGACACATGGTAAGAGCTTATGTGGTCTAATTGTGTAAACTCAATGTTGATCAATGAAAAGTGGCTAATATTAACGACTTTTCTAATAAATATTGCCTGATTTTGTTGTTGCAAGCTCTGGTGAGTATCCATGAGTCTCTTCTTTCCTATGTACATGTAGGCATGCAACCTATGCAACTGCTTATATTTTTCTAGTAGAAATACAGATAATGAAAGTACCTTGTTTAAAATGGAAAAAGAGAAGATCACTAGAACCTGACACAGTCAAAAAATTCAAATTTACGATTGACAGCTGTAGTGTCCATTGTGGCTTTAAGTATTTGCAGAATTGTATTGTGCTGTCTTCTGCAAGTTTGAATTTTCTGCCTCTCAAACTGCTTCAATCTTAACATTTTCAAATTCATTTTGTGTTCATTTAGAAGTGTTTTTTCCATATGCGTATACACACAAGCATGTGTACATAAGTGTGTATATGAACATATGTTCCAGTAAGTGTACTAAGTATTTGTGGAGTTAGTGCATGGAATGTTTCCTTTGATGTTCTAGACAGATGTATTTCATCTGGACTTAACCAAAATGCTTTTTGAGAAATATTGTCACAATGCCCTCAACCTTATACAATCAAGCTAAAAATAAGAAGCACTTGTGCAAGAACGGAAGTTTTCTTGTCTCTTGTTTAAATTATTATGGAAGTGTTGCTCAGTACTCTGAATGTTAGGTTTTTATATTTGCAGTTGAATTTTAATCATAGAATATGTGTTACCTCTGTGTCTCTTCAGCTTTTCAGGAGCAGCATGCCTCTGTCAGCTGCTGAAAGAGGGAAGCTAGTATGTTGGGTTTTCAGTTGTCGTGTGTATGGAAGCAGTTTCCTGGCTTAGTTCTGCATTATGTTAAATCCCTACCGAGGTCTTGATCATGTCATTACTTAGGCAAATACTTTAGTTATACAAGCAGTCTAATGTTGGTAATGATGCTTTTGTGTTTGATACAGAGTATGTATACAAGTGTGTGGAACCTCAGAGACTAAAAATGGATCATCTGAGTTAGCATGTAGAAGATTTTCTTCCCAAAATACAAGATGAGATGTAAATTTCAAAAGGAAAACTTTTTTTATAACAAGCTGATGTGGAAAAAGTTTGCATAGTCTTTTGCCCACCAGTTTTACATGCTGCTGGGAAAGCCAGGTTTTTGTTGAAGGGATAGGAATTTTTTTTTTTTTCAACTACACACAAAAGTGAAGCATTATGTGTTTGTATTTTTGCAGAAAGCATGATCCCTTTCCCCCTCTTTCTTTTTTTTAACAAAAAGAACTTGTTTCAATTTGTTATATGTCTCTAACCATACAGTTATCAATGCAGCATCCCATGACTAATGCTGACCCACTTTCCCAGAAAAAAAGATGTTCATTGTGCATTTGAAAGGTTGAAAAGGTTTTTGTGGTTTAAATGTTGTTACATATTTTACAGCATTAGGATCTATGGAATATTTTGACAACTGCAACAGTTCAATGAAGTTGGTAATTTCTTCTTTTAATTATTTTTCATTGAACAGATTTGGAGATAAATTTTTAAGACTTGTGTTCTGGTGTATTATACAGAAACATTTTGATGAAATGTATCATAATTTTTTTTTCTATCTTACTGCAATTTAGTATTGCCTTTAAGAGTAAGGTTATTAGCCTTTAAGCGTAAGGTAACCACTGGTGTATAATTTTGACCAAACAGTGTGGTGTTCCTTTCAGCTAGTGATCGTACGTGTATGACTGCACATCCTCTTGTAGCTGAGCTGATGCATGGGCTTCAAAGATTATCTGCAACACCATAATCCACATACAGAGTGGGAAATAAGACTGGCTTTATGTGTTTCATTAAGTAAAATACTGGTTGATACAAAGCTTCAGTTTTTTTCCACGTCCTTCCCCATTCACATACCAAACACAGTGCAAGTAGCGTCTTGAGTTTGTTTGAGATGTGTGAAACAGAATTATGTTATCTAAATAGAGTATCTTCAATGCTAAAATTATTTATAAAAGCATCTTCTCCACATATATTATTTCCATTTGTGGATGTGGTGCCATTGTTTTTTAGACTTACTTAAAAATTCTAGTTGGCTTTTTCAAAAAGTTAAAAACTCCCCCAGGGACACCATGTGCTGTTACTTACCTCCCGCCACTCTTTAACCATCTTGCTACAGAAATTTGTGAAAGGTCACCTATCAGAGACCTGTAAAGAATTAATACAGTCTTTAACTAGCAGCTGTTAAATTGTTATTAAACTCGAGGGAAGGCCCAGAATAACACCCCTTGTCCTCCATGAAAAAACAAACCAACCAGCCCTGAGAATTAAGTTTCACTATCATCCTTAAGTGGAATTTAGATTTTTTTTTTTCCCTTACATGATGTAAAATTCTATTTTTCTAGCTGTTTCATTTTTAATAGGTGAGGCATTAATCAGCTATTAATCAAATCAGATATTTTTGATTCAATTCAAGTATTTTTGTAGTAAGGGGTAACACTTAAGTCTTTCATCTAAATTCTTAAAATGAATGCTAGCCATGGAAATACTTTAACTTCAGTAGCCTAAACTTTTCCTATGCTCAGCTCTGTTGGTAATACATAAATACCTTTGGGTTACTAATCTAGAAAAAGTTAGTATTTTCATTATAATTATTCTAGTTGTAGTTACTTTGGTATTTTTTTACATTTACTTTGTGCTAAACACGTAAAGTAAAATAGAGAACACTTAAAGCATACCTTTTTCAGTTTAAAGTCATTTTCAACGTACAGGTTGTTTGTTAAAACTCTTACAGTATTTTGTAATTTAAATGATAATTAAAGCTTTACTTATCTAACACTTTAATTTTTCATTAATATATGAAATGATTGTAGTACCTTATTCTTAATTAGCCTCATACCTTAGTTATATGCATTAAAATTCCTAATACTGTTAAGTGAACTAACTTCTTTCTTATGTTAACAATTTTTGTAAATTATTTTTTCTTTTCTTGCAGCAAGGAGCAAATAATGCAGAAAAGTTTGACTACGTAAGTTAATGTTACAACATTCCTTTTTTAACTAAACTCGGTGGTAAACATTTCAAGATGGTGAAGGGATTGCAAGTGAAATTTTAGTAATTTCAGGTGTTTTGTCTTTTTGTCTGCGCTTGGTTGTTTACATGTGTAGTGATGTGAACTGCGTTTGTAAATGTGTTATAAGATTTTTAGGGTAAAGCTGGATTAAAAGTTTGTTAGTTGTAACTTTAATGTCTGAAAATGTTAGCATGCTTTTCCCCCATCCTCTCTGTCTCTTAACAGGTAATGCAATTCATGAATAAAATGGCTGGTAATGAGTATGTTGGATTCAGTAATGCTACGTAAGTATTTTTATTTATTTAATGAATTTAGGTGGAATATGCCTCAACTGATAGTTAACCTATTGATCTTATGGCAAAGTTAGATATTGATACTGAAGCTATCACTTAATCTCTAATATTAGAGGGTGTCTTTGGCTTAAAATTTACAAGAACTAAAGTTGTGCATGTTTCTAACATTACTGTGGCTAAATGTCACATGAAAGTGTTGGTTATCTCTTCAAGATTGCATTACTCTTAGTGCTCTCTTGGTGTTATGTCAGTGAGAGCTGTAAGTGCAGCTCTTACTGGCATTCATATTAAAAATCAAACTCTGCAAGCTGAAAGCTGCATATCAAATGTTTAGCAAGCATACTTCTTACAACTGGGACTCTTCATGCTTGAAAGTAGATGATCTTAAGGTCTTTTCCATCCCTAATCATTCTATAATTCTTTTTTGCACATTGAAATAATTTTCTAAAGCAATTCCCCTCATTAACTCAATGTATAGCATTCCAAAAATCTTGAGATCATTTTGAGACAGCACTAGGAAAATCATAAAGATTCCATATAGCAAAATTGCTTCCAGGTTGCAGAGAAGTGAATGAGATCAACTAGTGTTTTTCCTGAGCTTTGTTAATGTAAAAATCCTTACCATGGAAAAAAGCAGACAGGAGAGAATTACCTATGCTTGCGTCATACAGATTCCTCCTTCAGGTTTCATCCTTAATTAATCATCATGATAACTGTGCAGCTATCAGTTGATTGTTACCTGACCTGCAACTTGATCTTCAGGTTCCTCTCTAGTTTGGTCAGTGTTGTAAGTGAATTACCCATTCTCTGCAGCTCTTGAGGAATGTTTTGTTCCTCTGTGGCCTTTTTAGATAATGCTTCAAGCATCGGGATCTTAACGCTGCTTTGCCTTATGCCAAAGTCAGCTATGTATGTGTAGATAACCAGTACTGTGTGTATTCAGATGTCAAAGCTAATTCACTCCAATTGGGTTTACTGGGATGAGCTTCTAAGGCAGCGTCTGTCCTGTTTGTAGAATGTTTGTGTTCAGCAGTAGTGTGTATTTTACATGCAGTTATAGTGAATGACATGATGTGTCTCCGAAATTCACTGGTTTTCTTTGAAAGTTTGTCGTGTTGCCTTTTTTCATTTTTTATTTGTTTATTTAAGGTTCCAGTCAGAAAGAGAGAGTGGAGATAGAAATTTTGCAATCGGCTATTACTTGAAAGAAAAAAAGGTTGATCTCTTTTATTCATTGTATTTTGAAGACTGTGTGGTGGGGTTCATTTCATAGTCAGTGGAGATGTTTTATTTATTCAATGTACAGTATGGCATAAATTATTCCAATGTTGTATATGCTTTCTACCGCTCTTCAGAATGCGGTCATTCTAATAGAATGCTGTTATCATTTTTCTGCATCGTAGCCATGATAATTTGTTTTATTTGTTGTAAAATCCATAATCTGAGCTGTACAAATGACTTTATAAAACTCTTAAATGCAGTTTTCTGATTTAAAGATGTTGAAAGCTGTACTAAAAATATTTTAATACCTAGCTTATTGACCTCAGTGCCCTTTTTTTAGCCCTTTTTTTATCTGATGAGACTTAATATTTTTACTGTTGCATTGAAATAAATATTTAATTTAAAATCTGCCTAGTGCTTAATGTGCTGACAAGAATACAGATTAATTTGTTTCTGTGAAAGTCTTATTTAAAAATTATAATTTTCCCTAAAGACTCTTTTATTTTTCTTCCTTAGTGCTTTCCTGAAGGCACGGATATGGTTGCTATACTAGACTTCTATTTTCAGGTAACTGACTTGAAAACTGAGATTTGTTACAGACTTAGAATTATTATAAGCTGTAGAAGCTGATTTGTTCATAGTTGTAAAGGCTTTAATGGCTTGTAGTTAAAACTTGTCAGGTTCTGCTAAACTCTAGAAAGGAACGATGTATGCCTGATGTATCCAGATTTGGTTTTGTTTATGTGATGTAATTAGGTGTCTTTACTACTAATGCAAAGTAGCAATAATCTTGAAGTTCCTAACTACTACTGTTTTAAAATGTCTTGTATTCAGTGAGTTTGACAAAATATTTTTGTTTCTTGGGGTTGCTGCTCTTTATTGTGAAGTACTTTAAACTCCGTGTATAACTAGAATAGTATATGCATGCTGTATTGTAAGCTCAAGGGTAGTGTTATCAATGAAATAATATGAGTATCTCCTTTTTAATTTGGTGCTTATGAGTAAAACGAAGAATCTAGTCATATATGTTCCCCCTCCCCATTTTTTTTTCCTTTTTGACTTTCAGCAAGTTACTTGCAACTGTCACAAAGTGAGAACTTGGCAAGTGTGAGGTATTTCCTCAGTAGGGGTTTCCTAATGTTAAAACAAACTCAGGTCTGCTGCATATATTGATCAAGAGGCAGTTCAAGTTGTGGTACTGATTGAGTCTGGGATAGTTCTTAAAAAAACCCAAAACGGAACAAACTAACAAAAAAGCCTACCCAAATCCTCCCCCAGAAAACCCCAAACCCACCCGAATTTAGTTATCAAATGAATCTGGTTTTGGTTCATGAGACTTGCTTGTACTTATGCAAATTGCAAACAACATTTTTTAAATGCAAATTTTATCTGAGGTTTTTGTATCAGGATGCATCTTTGTATGGAATGACTGTTTATGAAATAAGGTGCATGTGATTAGCCTTAATTGACCTTTTATTGAATTGGAAACTAGGTGCAAGTTAATAGTCTACTGCGAGCTTCTGTTCTTACAGAACAAAACAGATAATTTATTTAAATTTACTGCTTAACATGCTTTTTAAACGCTTCCTATCCCACTGCCTCAAGTCTTGATAGGCTTCTGAATGTAAAGCTTATTAATAAGTTACAAAATGTCAAAACTAACTCTTCTGTGTATTTTAATGTGACCTCATTTAGTGCGTTATAACCTCTAATTTCATGACTGTGTGTCATTTTTTCTTTTAACCCTCGCAAAATCCCCTTTTCGCTCCATCATCAGAAAAAGGACAGCTCATACATGAGCAGCAGTTCTGTTTTCTTCTCCCTGTGCAATGCTTGCTTTCCAACACTTTACTCAGATGCTACTTAAAAGGCTAGTTATTCCTCTTCTTTGGGTTTTGTGTGATGCTCCTCCCTCCCTCGTGTAAGTTGTGACCTTTCTGAGCAGGAATAAACTTTTTTTCCGTTTTATCTCTGTAAAGTGAGGATGGATAATTCTCATTTTAGAGAACCGAAGTACAAAATGCAGGTGCTTAAACTGAGAACCTAGAAACACTTTTTTTTTTCAAAGTAGGTGATATTATGTAATGCTTCATATGTTTAAAACACAGTTGCCATTTTAGATGCGTCTCTGACAATCTCTTGATTTGCAACTCCAGTTGATTGGACTAGGATGTATTGAGTTTGGCACCCGGAAAATAAGAATTCCAGGTAGTAACTACTCATGAAAACTTGGCTTAGGTAACTTCATGAAGTATCATGTAATGTCTGTTTGGCAAAAGCAAGAATACAAGCACTAAATTGTTTACTTTTCAGAGTAGCATTTCAGCTTCAGGTTGAAACCAGCTTATCTTTTGGTTTCTGCAGAAATGAGGCAGCATCAGGTGATGGCATCATATCACATTTCCTGATCTGTCACCAAAGTATGTATAGTTTGTACTGAAGCAGGGATCCTGGGAGAAACTATCGTGTGGTTGTATCATTAACATATCATTAAGTATATATGAGAGAAAGGTGAAATAAGGCTGCATCAGCAGGAAGTGCTGGCATTAAGATTTGCATGTGCTAGAGTTTGCAGCTTTCAAGTGTACTTTTAATAATGTGTGGGGTCTTCTAAGGCTTAAAAAAAAATAAAATAAAACACCAAACCACACAAAACAAACTCCAACGGAAAAACAACCAAACCCAGTCATTCTGTGGCTTTGCCATTTAAGCAGATGCAAAATACCGAGATTGTTTTCCACACCTCTTCCTGTCAAAGGAACATAAGGGGGGTGGGGGGAGGAATTGAACAAAACACTAACCTATGCAAAATGCTGTCCCAGACTATTAAGAGGGCTTGCAAACACTGTTGCTGGGATCTTTATAGTAGGAAGATTCAGACCATATGAATTGATGCGGCTAGCATAATCTGTAATGATTGTTAAACTACATGTTATTTTGAGATGTTATTTCTTTAGAGACATATAGTTGATCCTGCTATAGTTGGCCTTACTGTGCTAGAAGTGTCAGTTCTTACAACCTCTCTTTCTTTTTCATAAGCTTTGCTCAATAGAGGTAACATGTGAATCGGCAAGTGTGATGGCAGCAACTCTGGCTAATGGTGGCTTTTGCCCAATCACTGGTGAAAGAGTACTGAGTCCTGAAGCAGTCCGGAATACCTTGAGTTTGATGCATTCCTGTGGCATGTATGACTTCTCAGGGCAGTTTGCCTTCCATGTAAGTAGTTTTCAGATACGTGTTATAGCTGATCAGGAAGGTTAGTCTGTGCTGGTGTTTTCCATGTTCCAGGGCTTGTTTGCTTGCTTGCTTCTGGGGAAGAGGAGAGGGTGTTGCATAAATTGTTTAGAAATTAAACACTCCGTATCAGAAAATTTCACCTAGTATTCATGACACTACTAGTACAGCATATCTTATGGCACTTACATTTGGGCATAATTTTCATGTTGAACCAGAAGTACTGTCCCTTAAGAAAGGCTGTTCCTGAGAGAAAAAAAGCTCATGATACAGAAGTAACTGGAAACAACTTATCTGAAGAAATCCTGTTATATGGGAGTAAAGAATAGCAAAAAGCCTTTGCAGATAATTGCTTTTTCTTCACTAACTTGGGCTCATGAATTGTCCTCATGTTGTAAAAGTGGCTGTCGTACACAGCATATATACCATCCTGTTTTACAGCAGTATGTTCCTTACATGTAAGTATTTCAAGATACACTGCATCTTGTTTTCAGCATTTTGTTTTCAGCATTTTTAAATTTTTCCTTACTGCATATACATAAACTTGATTGTGTGTGACCTAAAAGCTACTACTCACAGATCTGTGAGGGTATATGACATGTTAATTCCTATCTTTATCTAGATTATAAACAAGTAGGTTATTGTGTGATTTCCTGGACAGACTCTTTTGTGTTCTTGAGGTTTTGTTTTTCCCAGTCAGTATTTTTTCATTTGTATAGCTTTGTATTATTACCTTCTTGCAAACTGTTCATGACAGATACACTTGTGTACTGCTGCTTAGTCATAATTGCTTTTTTATAAGGATTAATTGTCTTTTTCACTGTATTACTGACTGTGTTACTCAGAGCGAGTAGTTTTTATGATCATGTACTTTGGATTGCCACAAACTGTGCTTCAGGTTGTCATTTATCTAATGCTTTCCTAGCTTCAAGTGCTTTCCAGATCTACATTTTATAATGCTGCATCATAATCTTCAGTAAAACGCCTAATGCATTGGGTTACAATAGTGAAGAATGTTCGCAGAGGACAGCAATTCTCTGATTATTCTATAGGTTGGTCTTCCTGCAAAATCTGGAGTTGCTGGTGGGATTCTTCTGGTTGTTCCTAATGTCATGGGCTTGATGTGCTGGTCACCTCCTTTGGACAAGATGGGCAACAGTGTTAAAGGAATTCACTTTTGTCATGTAAGCTGCATTGCTTTTAGTGCCTTTTGGGGGTGTGTGTGGGTTTTGTTGGGGTTTTTTTTGGTGTGTTTTTTTGTTTTTTCCTTTTGCAGCTGATGCTTACCGAGCTTCAGTTAGTATGGTGAGATCTGAGTGAATTAAATGCTGATTTGTTATTCTTCTGTGCATAGCAAGTTTCATCTGATCCAAGGGTGAAAGTCCAAGAAGAGGCTTTTCATTTTAGTAATAAATAACACTTTTAATTCAGTGGGCAGTAAGAAAATATGATGCCAGAAGCATTGGAGAAACTTATTGCGGAAAGGCTTTTAAAAGGAACACTGCATGAAGTAATGGAAGAGCTGGTCTCCGTGTACTGCACGAGAAGGTGCAGACCTCTATTTACAGACTCATTTTTCTTTCTAGTCATAAAGTAAACAATTTTCTGGAAACGCAACTATCAATACAATAAGAGGAAAAGATTCTAATGAAATACAGTAGTTCTGATGTATTTTTCAGTGATTTTTATAAACAATCTGACATGAAACATGCCTTCATAGATCAGACCCAGTTGGACAAGCCGTTTTTAGCTTCATCTCTTGCTTTGAAACGGGCTGTGGACGGTCTGTTTATAGCAGCATTAGACGCAGGAAAGATTTTGTCAAGTACTTTGTAGTGATGAATAAAGATGTTTTGTGGGAGAGAAGAATGTAAAAAATTGTCTTTATTTTCTCCCCTAAAATTACCTTGTAGTGCCAATCAAGTAATTATAAACTGGGGAAAGAATCTCAAAAAAGAGAATAGTAGGCTATTTAGAACCCTATAGGAAACATAAGATGATTGCTAGTGTTCAAACTAGGCTCTTCAAGGGTGTAGTTTATGTGGATAAGCAGCAGTTAACTATTAATATTTCTGTTTATCTAAATGTACAGCTGCCAATTAAGAGTACTAAGAAATCACTAATTCTAGTTTAAGTATATTAAAGGTTCATATGAAATAGACTTGATAATTTAATATAAAATTTGATATAAAATATAATTTAATACAAAATCCTAGAACAATAGGTAAGCAAAGGACTTACTCCTTTTTTTTGTGTGTTATAATGAGACCTAAAACCTGATGATCATGGCATACAACATGAATATAACATTCACATTTAAAAATACAACAGCATGGCAAAGTCCTGTAATTATAATGTTTAATGTAGTAATTAAAACTAAATTAAAGTCCATTATGTCACACATTTTCTTGTTTTATCCTTTTGATTAAAGTTTTATGAACTGGGCTCACCCAGACTATTCTTCCTGAAGTGTTTGAAAAAGCTGGAGTAGAAATATATTAAAATGGGTATTCTGCAACTTGCTGCTTGGTTGGTACTTCTTTAAAAATGAGTTTAGTGGTTTTTTTAGAACTTAATCATATAGTTGTATCATGTTTGAGGGGCTTGTAGACATTCGTATTGGCTTACTAAATAACCTTCTCATTAATGGTTTAAGTTACTAGGTTGTGCTGTAAAATGCAAGTGATAGCAGTATTATAATCTTAATATGCATTTGACTGCCATGCAAATAGTAATACATGTTCTTCAAATATTTGCAGGATCTGGTTTCTCTGTGCAATTTCCATAACTACGATAACTTGAGGCACTTTGCAAAAAAGCTTGATCCTCGCAGAGAAGGTGGTGATCAGCGGGTAAGTTAATACGTGTGTTTAGTGAGCATTGCTTGTAGGCATTAGAAGAAATACAGAAAGTTCTTCTCTAAATGCAGAATTGCTCAATGACATGCATTGCATCAAAGCTTTCATATAACCTACCTAGTTTACATTATTAGTGGACACTTACCTGGGTGGACCACACTATCACGGGGTAGTGCTAGACTAAATATGTGGTATCTGATAAAAGTTGCAGAGTCTTACTGTACTGGTTGCCTCTAATGAAGATTTGACCAGCTGATGGGCTTAATCTTTCTGTGCTGCAGTGCATGAGATGTGTGTTTAGCATTTTTTTGCAGTGATGTCTCTGAGACCATAGATCTTGCTGAGAGTTGCACAGGCAGTGAATTCAGGTGTTACAGTGCTGTGGATAAGTGCCTGTTTCTAAGGAAGCAGTATAAGCAATCTCTGGGAAGGAACTGAATCCACTCCAGCTACAGTACAAAAGAGGAAAGTGTGAGGGAGCTTGAGATAAGGAAAAGCTCTGCTTTTATTATCATTAATGTTTTAACTATGGCATGAAGATTTCAATGGGAGAAGATGTGGTAGAATGATTTTTAAAATGCTTCTATTTGCATGTGTACATCTAAAAAATAGCCAATTTGGAATTTGAGTTTTTTATAAATGGAAAAGAGAAAATAGGAGTTTTATGTGAAGAGGTGAGAGACTTGAGTCTGTTAGCATTGACTGCAAGTATGGATATTTTTCCTTCAAATACACTAATAAATAATGTATGTTGCTTGAACAACTAGCATTCCTTTGGACCAATGGACTATGAGAATCTCCAACAAGAACTTGCTTTAAAAGAAACAGTATGGAAAAAAGTGTCACCTGAATCAAACGAGGACATCTCCAGAACCGTAGTGTATAGAATGGAAGGTCGGGGAGAGCAAAACTAAACGAATGGGTTCTAGTTTCACTCAAATCTTCATTTTAAAAACCCTCAAGCATCTCTAGATTTAACTTTGATTTGAATATTGTTTGCCTGGTGTTTCATTTATATATACATTTTGTGTAAATTCTGTATGCTGTACCAAATAGACTGTCAAAGCTTAAGCGTGGGGGGAAGCACATACAAACAACAAAACCCAAAGCTGTTAACTGACTCTTGTAGTTACGTAAAACACATTTGCTTAAAAAAAAAAGAAGAAAAGGAAAAAATAAAAAGATAAATCTGAATGTTTTCAAAGATATACCACTTTTGTGTATATCTGTTTGTTTTTGTTTATATCTGAGAATTTTAAGTAAATTAACTTTAAAGGATAAGCAAGAACTTTTGATGTGTCCTGTGATCAGGGTCAGCGTGTAAAGAGAGAAGAATTTGAATTAAAATATAAAGTAAAATAATGTCAGCAACATACAGGAAGTTCATGGATCTCTAAATAATTGTGTATTAAGTGGAGATAGATTCTGAGTCATGGTATTACCATTTTTTTTTAATATGAGCTTTCAGATTGTTATGATCAGAAATGGATCTTTTGCATAGGCCATGCTAGTGAGGTTAATATCTTGTTTGGGTTCTTTTTAATCAAACCTTTAATAATTATTAATGCTAAAACTTAAAAGAACAAAAATGGCTGGGGAGGATTGTGAGAAGGGGGGGAAAATGACTAATGCAGCAGAAAGATTTCTGACCAAACTATTTTGAGTGTCTTGCTAGCTGCCTGTACTGCCAGCTGGTAGCTATGACTCAGAAGTCTGCCTTAGTAATAATGCTGTGCTCCACCCTAGAGAGGAATGTCAGCAATCTTGGGTTGAGAGCAGCAACCAACCGAGTAGTGAACAGGAAGTGTATTCTGAGGAAAGCAGATAGGTAGATACTATTAAAATTGTTTACAATTAACTTATTTTTCAGCTGCTTATGTGTGTTTATGTTCATCTATGACAGCAATATTTTTAAAAGTTATCACATAAGCAGATTTTTTAAGAGTTATCCATAATTGCTATTTTTAAAGTGTTAGTGAGTTTGCACCTCTGCCAGCTTGCTGAGAAACAGGACTTACATTCTTCTACAGACAGCGCATCTGTTCATCTGCACTTGATAATCATTTTTAGTCTCTTGAGTAGGGTGTAGCTTGGCATGGTGTATGTAAGCTTCAGATAGGCTCAATAGGCAATGCTGGAAAGAGGGCACAGACTTGCTAAACTCTTGACATTCTTAATGATGCTAAAAATCTTAGAAAGTTATTCTCTGCAAAGCTTTCCCCTTTATAAGTTTGAAGATAACTTGATAGACACCACCCCCAGTACACATCATGCAGAGTCCTGGTTTATACAACCGCAGAAAACTCATCCAAGTAATGATAAATAGTATTTGATGTGAATTTTAAAAGATGAAGGCAGATAACTCCTTAATAACACCTCTACCCCCTTATCCTTCTTAGTTGTCTAAAACTCCAGAGTACGCTCATATAAGAGTTTTGCGTAAGGGGAGAGTTAGGTTTTTTCCTGCCCCTTTTTTGACCCATCTGAATATTTATTAATTCAGAAAGATGCATAAAGCAAAGCTAATGTTCTCTGAGAAAGCAGGCTGTTCTTAATTGCTCTGTTTAGGTATTGTTAGTCCTGTGTAAACATTTGAAATAAGCTCTGATTAAGCCCTGAATAGTCTTAGTCTAGTAGTATGTTGTAAAAGGATGGACTTCCTGTCTTTGAAGGCTAAGCTTAAAATGTCTAAGGAAAACAATACAGAACATCAATTTTCAGTGAATTTGAAGTCTTACTGAGATGAAGAGTTAAATCTGCGGTGCAGATGTCAGTAATATTGTCAGTGATAAATTGCTGAGTAATAGCTGTTTTATAATCTTATCACTGATGATGAGGTTGGGTTTGTCAGTGCTTATCTTGAAAATAAACTGAAGTAAAGGCAAAGTCTTAAATTACAGAAATGTCTCACTTTTTTGAAGATTTTTACAGTAAGCTAGTAGTTACAGAGGCAAAACAAGTATACAGATCCTGCAAAACAACATGTCTTTACCTGAAGTACCCTCAACTGCAAGAGGGAAAATAAGGTGTCTGCTGATACTGGAAAGTATTTACAGTGATTACATGTTGCTAGTTAAGTTACTGATTCAAATAAAAAAAGGCAAGTGTATGATGCAGGACTTGCGTGATCTAATTCTACACACATAATTTTCTGGGGTTTAGTACTATTTGAAGCTAATTCTAAAAATGTGGTTGAAACCCAGATGGAATAATTTTCCATCTTCAACTTAAAAATCTTTACCATGTTTATGCTTACTAGTTATGTACAAAACTTGTGGTAGAGACAAGTCCTGCATGGGAGATCTAAAATTAAGGAAACTACTAGCTCTTAATATGCATAATAAGAATATTTAGGGTACACTGTACACAATCTTTACTTTAGAGATAGATATGTGTGTATATATATATATATATAATGCAGTTCTGTAATACATGCTTTTGAAGCCTGTCTCAGAATTTAAGCCAGCCTCTAGCCAGGAGGGATCATGAGGAGGTTCCTTATTGTGTAACTTGCCCACACTCAGTTCCTTGTTCTGGCCTGCCATGCCTGCAGATGGCTTGTACTGGTGGCAGGGTACACAGGAAGCGGGGGACCACGGTTAGGCCTGCCATGACAACTTACCCATGTCTACGTTGTGTTTGGTGAGCGGGTCTGAAAGAATGCGGTGATAGAGGCTAGTCATTGAATGTTTGAAGTCTGCAACGGTTTTAGTGTTCACCTGTGCTACAGTAATAGCAATTCTTGATATTCAAGCATTTTAGCTGTTTGTTTGTTTTTCTTTGTCAGCATCATTAACATTTCATTAGAAATGTAAATGCTTTTTAAAATTTTACTTTAGCATTTGTGTTGTACCTTTTGGCTCAGTTGTTAAGTTACCTGTCTCGTTTTCCATTTTTCATTTGCATTGTACGTTATTTATGTATCTCAATTTCCAGCATGCTTATTTTTGTATTGTTTAATAAATTTATTTTAAGCTGATTTTTATTGTATTTTTTTTCTCTCAATGGAGAACAGATTTGCTCAAACACATTTTTGAGACTGGAGGTGGTGAGATAGTGAGCGCTCCGTTCTAAGAAAGATAAAATTCTGGAGAAGTAGGTGGAATAAGCAGATTTGGTTAAACCAGCCATTAAAAACCTTCCTGAAATTTCTTAAACATCTTGTATAATAATCTAATTATTTTTCTCTTTGAAAAATTTGACCTATTATCTTAAAGTTGAAAGCAAAAGTCAAAGTTGGAGAACTTTCTCACCATTACTTTTTGATTATAAATGTCATGGTGCGGTAGGATATTAATGTCACTGTGCATTTGTGTGGTTTTAAAGATACTAATTCAGTCACTGGGAGAATATGTGGTTAATGGTATCAGTGGTATGGTAGTAACTGTTGATCCTGAGCATCATGACTTGAACGATATAGCTTGTAATAAGTCACGCTTAGCAAGAATGGTCCAAACCCACAGCCTAGTGGGTCCAAACCCACACCCAAGAGTGGGGTCTGAACAACAGTTAGTTGAATCTGGGCTCCTGGCAAAGCACTTGCCCTTTGTCACAGGCTTACCTTTTTTTCCATGAAAATTTATTTCAGATACTAAATAGTAGACGTGATGGTTCCAAGGCTAGACTTTTTCACTAGAATCATGCCTATACTGAGAGTGGCCGTAACTATTAATTTAGCTTTTCTGGTAGGTTGGTTTATAAACTGCAGTTACTTGTACAACCTTTTTAAAGGTAGCTGTATGTTTTATTGTACATAAAATATCACATATCAGAAGAGTTAATTCTGTAAAAGCCATAAAGAAAAGGAAGAGTAGAAGAGTAGTTAAGTACAAAGGGAGAACCACGCGTGATTTACTGTAGAATTAGTTTGGCTCTTACTGGTTTTCATTGTGCATTTGCGTCAAAAGACCAGTGGGGTGGGTAGATGAATAAAAGGCAGTGGAGTCAGAAGGGGGTGGGTGGGAGGGGAATAGAGAATGTTGGGTTTCCATTTG